CAGCCATTCTAACAGGTATGAAGTGGTATCTCATTGTGGTTTTGATTTGCATCTCCCTAATGAGTCAAGGCTATGGTTTTTCCAATGGTCATGTATGGATGTGAGAGTTGGACTGTGAGGAAAGCTGAGCGCCGAAAAATTGATGCTTTTGAACTATGGTATTGGAGAAAACTCTTGAGAGTCCTTTGGACTGCAAGGAGATCCAACCAGTCCATCCTAAAGGAGATCAGTCCTGGGTGTTCATTGGAAGGACTGATGCTGAAGCTGAAACTCCAATACTTTGGCCACCTCACGTGAAGAGTTGACTCATTGGAAAAGACCCTGATGCTGGGAGGGATTGGGGGCAGGAGGAGAAGGGGCAACAGAGGATGAGATGGCTGGATGGCATCGCCGACTCGATGGGCATGAGCTTGAGTGGACTCCGGGAGTTGGTGATGGATAGGGAGGCCTGGTGTGCTGCAATTCATGGGGTCGCAAAGAGTGGGATATGACTGAGCAACTGAACTTAAGTGAACTGAACTGATGATTATGTAATAGGGAAGAAACTTTGTATTCTATTACAAGTTAATCACTAAAGGGATGGTGCCTATAAGCTTAAATTATTCATAATATCCATCTCTGGGAACCCAGCCTCCCAAATAATGAGCATTAAGCTACAATTCCTTTGTATAGCTCATAGGAAACATCCTGACCAGGCCCACCGGTGAATGTCTACAGGCAGGACAAAATTAACACAACCCCTCTGGAGGTTGACCTGAACCAGGAAACATTTGACTTTACTCCTTCCACTTTTAGTATAAAAGAAGCCTAAATTCTAACTCAGGCAAGATGGTTTTTTAGGACACCAATCTGCCATCTTCTCAGTCTGATGATTTTCTGAATAAAGTTGCTAAAAAGCTGGTCTCTCCATTTATTGGAATGCTGTGCAGGAAGCAGTGAGTATGACCCTGGACTCAATAACAATTAGAGAGTCTGAGCATCTTTTCATGTACCTATTGGACATCTGTACTTAGGAAAAAATGTCTATTCAGATCCTCTGCCCATATTTTAATTGGATATTTTTAAAATTTGTTTTGTGAGTTTTTTTGCTATTCAGTTGTATGAGTTTTTCATATATTTTGAATATAGATGTTTTATCAGATACATGATTTACAAACATTTTCTCTCATTCCATAGATTGTCTTATCATTTTGTTGATGTTTCATTGACTATAAGACATTCTTAATGTTAGAGTTTCCCAAGATTTTATCCTTGGTCCACAACTTTTCTTATTCTGCATACTTTTTCTGAGTAATCTTATTCATGCCCATGGGTCCAACTACCACAGGATAATCTATTTTCTTCTCTATTCTAGACACTTTCCATGAATATTATACTCTGTGTCTTTATTTCGACATGATCTAGGAAATGTGAAATAGATATATCCAAATCAGAAACCTTTATCTTTTCCCTAAATAGATCTTCATTCAGTGAGTGGTACTCAGCCACCTAAACCAAAAGTTAACCTTAGGTCCTTTCTTTATCTCCCACATCCAACTATTACCATTTCTTGCCAAATTTACTTTTCTGTTTTCCATTTCTCCAGTCATGGCCCCTTTGTATTCACTCTCCAGTAGCTACCAGAATGATCCAAAATACAATCTCAGTCCCTTACTTAAAAGCTTTAAATAGCTTTCTTATTACCTGAAAGGTAGTCTTCATCATGACATAAAACCCACTGTAATGTGGTCCCTTCTTGATTCTCCAGTTTTCCTTTTTGCTTTTCAATTTACTGTAAAGATTTTGGTGGCTCACAGTGTGGCATAATGATTAACATTACAGTCTCTGGAGCCAAGCTGCTCAGGTATGAACCCCAGCTCTATCATATATTTACCTTGTTTTCCTCAACTGTGAAATGGATATAATAATAGTCCCTATCATATAAGAGAACTTGGAGGACTGAATTACATGTGTACTTAGACCAGTTCATGGCACTCCTTAGCTACATGAGGCTACTTCTAATATTTCTGCCTGCTCTGGCTACTTTCTCTTCTTTCCGGTCAGGTATTAGTTTAGCTATGGATCCTACATGCTCATCATTTTTTAACAAGCTGACATTTGATTTACTACACGTGAAATTGTTACCAATTACCACTTATATTAAGGTTGCTGTCATACGTAGGCATTCTTTTCATTCAGATGTTTTTTCTTTTCATGGTTGCAAATGCATCTACCTCAACTGTTCCAGTTATATTGTGTGCGCGCTCAGTGTTCTCAGGCATGTCCAATTCTTTGTGACCCCATGGACTGTAGCTCGCCAGGCTCTTCTGTCCATGGGATTTACCACTCAAGAATACTGGAGTGGGTCGCCATTTTTTACTCCATGGGATCTTCCCCACCCAGGGATTGAACCTCTGTCTGTTACCTCTCCTGCACTGGCAGGCTGATTTACCATTCCGGGAAGCCTAGCTATAATGCTGCAGATCAAAATGCAGTTTCAACACCATATTCTTTATATATAGACGTGGGAGAGAGGAGTATGCACAACTCCCCAGTTTCCAGCTTGAATGACCAGGAAGTCGGACAAAACAGTAGAACACTCACGTTTGTCGCCTACACACACACTCATAAATATTTTTATTTCTTCCAAATTTCCTACTGCCTCTTCACTCTAGACTGACACTGCTATCAATGTCACTTCAGGTAATCCCTTTTCCTTCAAAATTTCCCCTTGCTGCCCCACTCACCCACCAAAAAGAAAAGTACTGTAATGGTTCTGCCTTTCCCTTTAAGAACAGGGTCAGCGAGAAATTGCACGCCTAAACCAGCCCTCGGAATAGTTGCCGTAACCACAGCAACGGGAGCAGGAAGGGGCGGGATACGTCGTCCTGCGTCCGGCCCGCGGCGCGCGCCAGCCGCAATGGTGCGGGTGCGGGGGCTTCGTGGTTACAGCGTGCTCTTCAGCTCCGGGTTGAAGCCGGAGCCGGAGCCGGATTCCGCGCTGAGGGCCACGTCAACCTAAACCTACACCGCCCTCCCCACCCTGTTCGGCCCGCAGGTCCTTAGGCGAACCCTCCCAAGCTGCGGCCTCCACACCTTTCCCACAATGCCCCGCGCCAGGCCCCGCCCCGCCTCGCCTAGGAGACCGCCGCGCGAGGCGCAGACCGGAGCCGGCCGCGCTGCTAGCTGCCGGTGTGGCTGGTCCAGCCCCATCCCGGGCGCGGCGGCCCAGCGGTCAGCGAGTACGTGCTTTCTTCCGAAACGCATAGGTTGTGTTTGGCCGTGTGGGGTCCGCCCCCGGGGATTGAGGATGGGGAAGTAGCTGCAGGAGACGACCCCGCAACAGCGAGGTGGGCTTGGACCCGGGGCCGGGGCTTTGCTGGAGCTGGTGGCGGCCTGGGCTCTCCGGGAAGGGAGGGCGGAAATGGCCTGTGCGCTGGAATCTTCCCCCGCGCTCTTCTCTCCTGTGGCTGGATTTTAGTGTTCTCTCTCCCAGTCGTCTTTCCCCCTGCTAGCCACACCATCCTTTCTTCAGTGGTTCCGCGCTTTTAGTTTCTCCCTTTAGCCTCAGTTATCCAGATTCCTGGCACCCTCGCCCGGTCTGAGGTCTCACACACCAGCACCCCTTGGCTCCCAATGTCTACACCTTGCCCCAATCGCCGCAACCCATTCTGAAGTGGTGGCTGCAAGGAGTTCGTGCTGCATTTACCTGCAGCTTCTACCTGTCCCCGCACCTCGGCGCGCAGCTAGTCCGGCACGCCCACGCTGACTTTGAGAACCGCCGCTGCGCAGGGAACAAATAGCACTTGTCAAATGGTGTTTGCTAATATCTCTGTTTTATTCTAAATGTCTTCTAGTCTGGATGTTAATCTACATCGCTCTATTTTACAAAGGTTTTTTTGGTGACGTGAAAAGGAAGGATTAGAAATGAATCGAAAACCGTTCACAGGTGAGAAAAAAGTTAAAATAGGCATTTAAGATTAAAGGACGAAAGGAGGAACTGAGAATGCTCGGAAAGTTGGGTTTTTCGAAACATTATGAGATCTTTGGAACTAAAGTATATACAAATTTGCATGTGATTTTATTTTATTTTTATCCTGCCCAGGTTAGCGTGTCTGAATAACTGATTGCTGCTTTTCTGTTTTTCTATTTTTATTTATGCCAAATGTAAACTTTGTAATGAAATTACAGTTAACTTGCAGTTATTATTCTGCTGGTTATATAAAATAGTAACTGCTTAGATAGAACAAAAGCACCTTCTGAGAAAATTCAGAAGAAAAAACGGGGACTTTGTACGTTGTCTGTTACAGTGATAGAAATTCACTGCCGTTCTACTTGCATCGGTTTTATGAAAAATACAGACTCTCTGGAAGGATCTGGTGCTTCTTTCTTGTACCCCCAAAAGATATTTCCTACAAGTAAAATTTGATTGAAATGAAAACTGGATAGGCGTAAATGGGTGGAGAAATAACCAAAAAGGAAGCAGATCAAAAGGGCCAGTCTTAAACTGGGTAGAAGAAGGAAGGAAGTAGCTCTTTGCCTCCTGTTCATCACCCCCCTCCCCTGTTGTGATGCTGAGAGAGCGAATTGCTGCATTTGTTTCTAAAACGTTCTAGATAGCTGCAGCCACACCAGCTTCCTTTTTTTTTTCTTTACCTTTATCTGCTATCTTGACACAAATGATCGCATGCATGTGGCTAATGGAAGGAATGAAGCAGGCCCCCAAAGAACAGGGCCTGAGGCACTCACCCTGATTTGCCATTTACTGGAGATTATATTACTGGTCATGTTATTTAATAAATAGTGCTGTTGATGGGTTGGGGGTGTTTTTTTTTGTTGGTTTTTAATGTATTTTACCTGATTTTTTCTCTTTAGATTAACATTTGGGGAGACAATTTATGATGCCTGTTTCACTTTTGGAGTAATGTGGACAGAAGTTCTCAAATTTGCATATTACATCAACTGGAACCAGTGGCCTTATCTTAATGTTTATTTAAATCAGAACTTGTACAAGAAAAACAATGGGAATCTGGTTAAATAAAGATGACTATGTCAGAGTCTTGAAAAGGGTCATGCTCTTTTTTCTAATAATGTATATGGCCATTTTAGTGGGTACAGATCAGGATTTTTACAGTTTACTTGGAGTATCCAAAACTGCAAGCAGTAGAGAAATAAGACAAGCTTTCAAGAAATTGGCATTGAAGCTACATCCTGATAAAAACCCGGTAGGTAAAAATTTCTTTTTAACCATTTCTGATTAATGTGTTTTAAATTAGTGCTCAGAATTCTTAAGAACAACCACTACTAGTCAAAAATCACAGTTCAACATCTGTGCTAAAAACAGAGGAAGCTAAATAGTCTGAGTTTAGAGCAGTTAAAGGAATGCCAATATCAAAATGCACTTCTCTCAATTTGAAAACTAATTTCCAGCAGTTCTATTACAGACGTTAATCACAGAGCAGAAGTAGTTTTCTTTGTAAAGCAGGTTAAAATGAAGTATTTTAGAACATTAAGAAAAATTATTTGCTTAGAACATACAGAGGGTGTGTCTTGCTAAAAACAGCAGCAAGAGCTGTTAACATCATGCTTCAACTTTTTTCTGCTATGTACAAATCTAAAACCAGAATCAGAAAGTATTACAAATTAAAACTTAGCAGCCAAATCCAGTTAATGCCGATCATAAATATTTGGTTATGTATTCCATAATGTAATCTTTCAAAACTGTTTTAATTCTTAAGATATTTTTATTATTTATCTCATTTCATTTTTTTCTTAATGAGATTTAATATTCATCATTAAGAAAGATTTCACTATAATTTTCTAGGTAAAGTTTTTATGGTTAACTTCAATAACCATTTTTTAAATTATTTTTACTTACTTTTGGCCACACCACTCTGCTTGCTGGATCTTCCCTGACCAGGGGTTGAACCCAGGCCACTGCAATGAAAGGAATCCTAACCGCTAGGCCACCAGGGAAGTCCCTAGATAGAATTTTAAGTAGGATTATTTTATTTCCATCACATAAACCCGAGCAATAGAATTGGTATTTCTCTAAAACTCTTGTTAATTGGTAATCTTTTCCTGAGATCAATATTTTGTTGTGTTTAGGATTTTCATTTTTACAAATTTTTCTTTAAATTTTCAAACGTCATTTCTTGTAAGTTTCTGTATGAAAGATGGTAGACCCACCTAAGTACTTAATTCAGCGGTCCCCAACCCCTAGATGCTAATTCCTGAAAATTTAAAGTGGAGCTGATGTAATAATAGAAATAAATACACAATAAATGTAGTGTGCATAAGTCATTCCGAAACCACACCCCACGCCCCACCCCATCTGTGGGAAAATTGTCTTCTTTGAGAGGGTCCCTGGTGCCAAAATGGTTGGGGCTTGCTGATTTAAATGAAAGCATTCTTCAAAAAGCAGTTCTATGAAACACTGACAAATAAAACATATCAGTCCAGTTTTGAGTTATTACTCTGGTATTAGTTCTTATGTCATTATAATCGATTGGGTTACATACTTTTTTTTTATTTTGCCTCAAAATTTGCCTAAAATTTTCTTTGTGATTATTTTAGAGGTCACACATGATATTTACCATATTGTTTCCAAGGATTCATTAGTCCGGTTTCTCTGTTGCATCTATTAGAGGTCATATTTTATGACCACCTCTGTCAACCTCTTGAGGCATTAATTCTCATTTCTCTGTTACTTTTCTTATTTTTTTAAGATTGTAGTTTTTTAAAAATACTTTTTTAATTTTTTATTTCAATGTGTGATGCCCATTTCATATTGTACTACTCCTCCTTGTCTTGGTATCTACTCAAAGAATTCTCAATTAAATCAGTTAATTGTGTATCTGAAACAAATATTATATCTAATATTTTTAATAGAATAACCCAAATGCACATAGTGATTTTTTGAAAATAAATAGAGCATATGAAGTACTCAAAGATGAAGATCTGCGGAAAAAATACGACAAATATGGAGAAAAGGGACTTGCAGATAATCAAGGAGGCCAGTATGAAAGCTGGAATTACTACCGTTATGATTTTGGTAAGATGATAGATATTCCTTATGAAGTTATTGTTTATTCAAGTAAATTTAGAAAATTAATTTTGTTTCACCAGTTAGCTTATTTATGTAATTAATGTGCATCCCCTAGATCCTCTCTTTAATGCAACATGGGAGTGGCATTCAAGAGGAAAATCAAGTAGTATGTAGATACCTGAGTAAATATGGAGGTGTTTTGGTCATAATCTTGTTAAATACTTATAACAATTATATTTAATTTTTTAAAATATTTGTATTAGAAGTTAAATATTGAAGCCTTCTAGTATTTTTAGAGTATCATATTTTCCAGGAAAGATTGAAGTTTCCTTTAATAGTGGTCACTTCAGTAGAAATACCATCCTTCTTAATTAGTAATGAATAATGGCTTAAGGTGTGACAGGAACGAGAAGGCAAGAGCAGAGAGAGTCAACAAGTGAAAGAGATGGAGGGAGGGGAGAGTAAACACAGGTGTCAAGCAAAGAGGGAGCCTTCTGATAGCAGTGGTCATATATTGGCCTCAAATGCAGGCTGAGAAGCAAAGTATGCATTTATCTTAGAGTCAATAAATATTTTCAGTTTACATCTGGAGTACTTATTTCTCCAGACTGACTTTTCAATATAGTATTTTCAGATATATTCACTATCGTTTGATAGTCTATAACAAGTGTCGGTAGTCACTATTTCACAGGCTAAGTCTGGCCTGCCACCTGGTTTTGTAAAGTTTTATTGGAATATAGTTTTGCTCATCTATGTACATATTATTTTTCACACTTCAGGGCAGAGTTGCATAGTTGTGACAAATCATATGTCTCACAAAATCAAATACTAACGTCTGCATATGTCTATCACTTAATATTTATTCATTGATATTTTATATACTAATGAGAAGCTTTCCTACATTGGTGTTATTATAAGAAATAAATTTTATATTTAAGTTTGCCTCTGCTTCTGCAAATACTCTAATTATATAAGACATTTAGTGATACAGAACATTTTTAAATGATAGTACATTAAAAAGAAAAACATGCAGTCTGAAAGTAGTATACTTTTGCCAATTTCCTGGTTTGGATAGTGTACTAAAATTACATAGTATGTCACCATTAGGGGAAGCTGGGTAAATGGAAGTCTGAGCTATTTTCACAACTTAATAAAAGTCTATAATTATTTTCAAATAAAAGCTTTTTCAAAAAAAAAAAATTTTCTGTGGAGATGAAATTGTGTGCCTGTTAAGAGCTACACCCCCAACACAAACACCTGTGACAGTACATATCAGGAAATTTCTTTTGATCACTCTTTAAATGTATCACCACTGTTACTATTTATTCTTTGCTTTACCCCTAGAAAAATAGAATAGATTCTTAGTGTTGCATATTCTTCAACTTGAGATTTAGAATAATCTGATTTTTGATGATTGAAAGAAAATGACATTTTAATGTGTTTATTTTTATGATGAAGTTTTAATTTTATAATTTATTTACTTCTAAAATTAAGGTATTTATGATGATGATCCTGAAATCATAACATTGGATAGAAGAGAATTTGGTAAGTTTGTGCATTTATGATTTTCCAAAACTAGTTTAAGACCAGTCTCTTTAACTAAAATTCCCTCAAAGACAAACGTATTTAGAATTTAGAAATTTTTCTAATTTTAGCAAGGTAAATGGTATATATTGTATTTTAAATAATGTTTTATAATCACCATCGAGATTTTAACAGTTTCTTTTATTGTAGAGTTTAGCGTATCATCAACTTTCCTTCTATTATGTTAATGAACTTTTCTAACATTCCTGTGTATTAATACTTTATTCCTCTTATTTGGCAGTTGAGGAAACCATAGAAGTGCTAGCAACATCCTCAACATTCTATACCTGTGTGTTTGTGTATAATTTACACATTTGAGATAATGGACCAATATCTATTCTATTTCTCTATATTTTTTCACATTTAAAAAATTGTGTATTTAAGAGTATATATGAAAAAAAGCCTAATACAAAAATGTATATGCAGTATAATGCAGATCATACAAGCGGTGTACATGTATATGCAGTATAATGCAGATCATACAAGCGGTGTACATATATATGCATAGAGCATAAAACCTGGGTGGGAACAAAATTAAAATATCAGCACTGATTAAAAACAAAGTTCTTAACAGAATGTGGGGCAGTATACTAGTTTTTTTTTTTTTTAGTATACTATTTTTAAAAAATATTTATGCAGTGAAATGCCTCAGTATGTATACTAAATGAAGTAAACATTATACATAGCCCCCCATATCAGTTCAGGATAAGTTTGTATGCCATGTGAGCTTCCTGCAAACTTGCAGAAATACTTCTAGTTTTGTGTTTCAGAGTTTTAAATAAGTATGTGGTCATTTTTGCAAGTAGATTTACTTTGATCTCTGTGAAAATGGATATAAAAATATACTTCTGTACTTTGCAGTGTACTTTAGAAAACGTTCATTATTCTTACACTTTCAAACTAGTACACTTTTAATAAAATATTCTACTTTAAAACTATATTTTACCTTAAATCATATTTCAATTTTATTTTGCTTTGTTACAGTTTCATTTAATTAACTAAAATAACTTACTAGGTGCAAAACGTATATAGTTTCTCATTTTAATAAACAATGTGTTACAACCAGTGAGTTTTTTACAGTTCCTTGTAAGCAAAAGTTGCATCATATTCGTATTTTCTACAACATAGTGAGTTCAGGTCTGCAAGGTAGCTCTTCAGTACATTATTTTGTTTAAAGTCTTGTAGTGAATACCTGAATAAGTTCTAAGGAACATTAATTAATATCTTTATAAAAGAAATGGAAGAAAATTTTATTTCTTTGTTATTATTGGTAGACAGAATTGATACTCATGTCACAGGCTGGCAGAATCATGACTTACTGGCAGGTAGTTATATGAACCTATTGCTTTTTATGTCGTTATTGTCTCATCTGCTAGTCTATCAGTAAGTATTTGGTGGTCCTATGGTACAGAAAACTTTGGAATTAGAGATTGAGAAACTGAGCAAAACCTGCAAGCTGATTAATCCATGAATCTACCCAGAATGAAAGACTTTCCTGATGGCTGTATTGCACATGGGTTCAGACTTTTTCAGATTAGTCATTACAGAGAAAAGGTTAAATTAAGAACTGCTAATAGTTCGTGGAGAACTCCAAATAGTAGTTAAAAATAGATTACAGTCACAAAATCTTAGAGACAGTTATTTAGAAATAATTAAATGACGTCGACAGGTCCAGTGCAAAGTGGCCAGTATTCCATTTGAACTCTGATACGACCCTGTGTGTGACTGGATTAAGGCAGGGTGATCCCAGAGTTTCAATTGAAGAAGCCGAGGGAGGAGGCCTAGGATGGATAGTCCTTACCCGTTTGTGCTTATGTAAATATCACATCTGCCTACTTGGTGTGGGTCTCTTCCTGTTACCAGTAGTTTCTACTTTTGGGGTTACTTAACTTGTCTTTTGTGTAACTAATAAGTAATTATGAAGTTATTTTTAAGGTGTTCTGTGTTCTTTTGCTCTAGAGAGAAATTATGTTTTCTTTTGACTAGAGTCACTAACAACCTTAGATCAGTTTTTTCCAGGGATTGAAATGATTCAAAAGCTGAGCTTTGGACTTGGACAATACCAGCCTCTTTTCAGTTCACCTTTATATATAGAACCCTCTCTACGTGTGCCCTGAACTTCATTTTTTTGTCTCTTGTCTCATGAATCTATTGAAAGCTCTGCTTAGTTTCTTGCCTATCAAGAGGTGGCAAACATTGGCCCCCTGATTTCTACCTCCTCCCGTTCCTAGGGGTCCCGTAATTCTTCAACCGCATTGGTAACTCTGACGCTTTCAAGGCAAGTCTTTTGTATTTTGTCCAATTCTTCAGTTGTGGTGGGAGAGTTAATCCAAATTACATCAGTTCAATTCAGTTCAATCGCTCAGTCGTGTCCAACTCTTTGCAACCCCATGGACTGCAGCATACCAGGCCTCCTTGTCCATCACCAACTCCCAGAGTTTATTCAAACTCATGTCCATTGAGTCGGTGATGTCATCCAGCCATTCTTATCCTCTGTTGTCCCCTTCTCCTCCCGCCTTCCATCTTTCCCAGCATCAGGGTCTTTTTCAAATGAGTCATTTCTTCACATCAGGTGGCCAAAGTATTGGAGTTTCAGCTTCAGCATCAGTCCTTCCAATGAACACCCAGGACTGATCTCCTTTAGGATGGACTGGTTGGATCTCCTTGCAGTCTAAGGGACTTTCAAGAGTCTTCTCCAACACCACAGTTCAAAAGCATCAATTCTTCGGATTACATAGTTCACTTTTATCAGGAGTAGAATTCAACTGTGATACAAAAGAGGAAATGTGATTAATACACTTCACTTTGTAAGTTCTTATCCTTCCCATTAAACATGATTTGTATTATCTTTTTAAAAGTCACAGAAAAGTATTACATCGTTACTAAAAGCAAGTTCTAGATAGTATCTGCAAAACCAGAACATCCTGCACTTAACACTAGTCATTTGGAGTAGTACCCACACAATACATGCATTCTTTTGAAGACAAACTCAAGAAATGAAAGAGGAACTCAAAGCACTTCAGCTTTTTTTTTAAACATTTTTCTGGGGCTAACAGAAGCTGCTAGCTATAATTGTAGAAATATTAACAAACATTAGCTGTATTGTTTAGAAATTGAAAGTCACATTTTGAAATATACTTGTTCTTTTCTGGGTCACTGAGTTGTACAAAAACATCTCATTGAGCTTTGATAATAGTTTTACAAATATTGTCAACAGTAGTGGGAACTGGGCAGATGAGAAGTACTCTATGAAAACAAAGTACCAAGGTGGAAAACAATTTTATTTTCATTCTCATATAGAGGCAAATTTAAATAGAAAAAAATTTTCTTATAATGAGAATGCTCAGGATTTTTAACAACTTTTATATATAATATACAGCATTGTTGATTATAGTGTTGTACATTACATCCGTAGTAGTTTTTTGTCTTGTAACTAAAAGTTTGTTCCTTTTGACCACCTTCATCCAATTACCCCTTTCCCCCACCTGGGCCTCTGCCAACTGCAAATCTGATCTCTTTTTCTGGAAGGTTGTTTTTGAAGTGTAATGACCTACAACACTGTATTAGCTCCTGTTACACAGCATAGAGATTTGTCATTTGTGTGCATTTCAAAATGATTGCTATAGTAAGTCTAATTACAATATGTCACCATACACAGAAACTGTATAGTTACTGGGGATATTCCTCACACTACATAGCAGTCTGTAAGTTGCTGATCTCATAGATTCAAACTCATTATAACAACCCTACATTTTACTCCCCCCACCACCACATTCAGAGGTTTTAACATCATATTTTATGTATTTTTGTATGTTTCTTAATTACTTCTTGCAGGTATAAATGATTTTTCTATTTTGTCTTTTAACCTTCCTACTAGCTTTATACATGACAGATTTACTACCTTTACTGTATATTTGGCTTTAACTGTGATATTTTTTTCCTTCCATAATTTTCATCTTTGTCGTTGTGGCCTTTTCTTTTTTCGCTTAGGTAAGTCCCTTGTGGCTGACTCATGTTGTATATGGCAGAGGCCAACACCATATTGTAAAGCAATTATCCTCCAATAAAAGAAAAGTTAAAAAAATAATAAAATTTTAAGAAAAGAAGTCCCTATAACTTTTTTTGTAAATATGGTTTCATGGTGATGAACTCTTAGCTTTTGCTTCTCTCTAAAACTTTGAATCTGTCCTTCAAATCTTAATGACAGCCTTGCTGGGTAGAGTATTCCTAGCTGTAGGTTTTCCCTTTCATCACTTTAAAGATGTTCAGAGAACATAGGAGAAGATTGAATGAACAGAGTGAGAAGTTAGAAGTTTTTGAATAAAGAGTTAGAAAACAAAGAGCAACTAAACAGAGGTGAGGAATGCAATAACTTAAGTAAAAAATACGCTAGAAGAAGTCAACAAGTAGATTATATGATGCAGATGAAGACAGTGGAAATCACTGAAACGGAACAGAAAAACAAAAACAGGATAGAAATGAGGACAGTTTAAGAAACCTCTGGAAAAAAAAAAAAAAAGAAACCTCTGGGACGTCATCATCCATACTAACACTTGCATGATAGAGGTCCCAGAAGAATGGGGCAGAGAACGTGTAAGATTTTACCTCAGTTCCTACCAGTTGGTGGTCCAAGGCATCATGGCAGTTATTTTGACAACCTGGATAGAGTGGTCTGTTCATCAGACTTTTTAAACTTTGCCAAAGAACAGCCAATAAAATCCTAATGTACACACTTTGCCTGTAATTTTTCCCACAGATCCATGTGTCTTGGCATTGAAATGTAGGTGAACATTACTACACACATTACTAATTAACCTGAATCAGTTATATGTATTTCAAATAGTATGCATGTTTTGATGTCTTACTATAATTTATTATGACTTTTGGAAATTTTCTTTCAAAATTGCTGATTTTAGTGTGGAATTATATGGAAACTCTTTAGCCAAAATCAAATTGTCTTAAACTTTTTGTATTGAATGTTAGAGCACATCCGTACAATCATGAAATTTTTAAATGAATGGATTTTGTTTGTATCAGGTCCTTTATATGTTAGATTATAATGTGTAATATAATTGTTGAGTAAATATTATGTAGTGTTTGGGTCTATTATTTTAGCAAATATGTATTCATGTTTTGAATTGTTAAAAACCTTGATCTAATACTTCAGATAACTCAGTTTTCCAAAGAAAATGTCTTATTAAGAGCAAAAAGTGAAAGTGAAGGTCGCTGAGTCATGTCTGACTCTTTGCAACCCCATGGACTATACAGTCCGTGGAATTCTCCAGGCCAGAATATTGGAGTAGGTGGCCTTTCACTTCTCCAGGGGATCTTCCCAACCCAGGGATGGAACCCAGGTCTCCTGCATTGCAGGCTGATTCTTTGTCAGCTGAGTCACAAGAGAAGCCCCTACTAAGAGCAAAGGTTAGGTTTAATCTGCACAGCCCTTACTGTCACGTAGGTCGCTGACCACATTCTTCTGTAATCTGGAGCAGCCGTCAGAGTTTGACTGTGTGCTAAACCAGTGCTGCAGATGGTAGAAGAGCCTGAAACCCCAGTCTCTCTGGTCATTTCTCCATTTCTGTCATCCACAAAACCTCTATGAGGTTTGACTGTTGCTTCCTTATGTTGCTTCCTTTATTTTTACAGCTTCTTAGTGACACAGATCATGCTGTTCAAGATTGCATCTTATTGAGATAGAGCTTGGAAGAGGTTTTTTGTTGTTTTTTGTTTAAAGGTATTGTTTGACAGTTGAAATAGTATGTTTTCTTCTTATAGAAAAGAAAATGTATAGAAAATGATAAAGGCAGTATGAAAGATGTATGACTATTTTTTTCATTTTGATCTCAAGGAAAATTTTGAACTAAAACATGTACAAACCTTTAGTAAATAATCATAAGTTGTTCGGTTTATGTATTTTTAGATGCTGCTGTTAATTCTGGAGAACTGTGGTTTGTGAACTTTTACTCCCCAGGGTGTTCACACTGCCATGATTTAGCTCCCACAGTGAGTATTTCTACATCCTGATTATTAAAGTTTTACTATTTACAGTTTATCTATTATTTGAGTGTTTTTAAAAATATGTTAGGATTTAACTATCAGAAATAGCTATCATATTTTTTCACATGTTTATGGTTTTATTTCATGAATATATTCTCTTTTAAGGAAGTGCAGTTTGAAGCATGTTCAAGGAAACGTAAATTATTTTATCAGAGAACTACTTTTTTTTCTTCATAGTGGAGAGACTTTGCAAAAGAAGTAGATGGATTGCTTCGAATTGGAGCAGTTAACTGTGGCGATGATAGAATGCTTTGCCGAATGAAAGGAGTCAACAGTTATCCCAGCCTCTTCATTTTTAGGTCTGGAATGGTAAGATATAAAATTGGCATTTTTTTTTTTATTTGATGGAACATTATAACAAGAGGAATACTAGAGAAAACACAATATGTGAATTTGTAGAATCTTTTGATTTTTCTTATTTTAGGTGCTATCTAACTATGCTATAGTCATAATAAACACTTTTTATTATACTGTAAATACTTTTAGATGATATTACTTTAACAAAATGTTTGCCAATTTCAGTTTCCATCTTAAGGGATATAATGATAACCAATATGTGTGCTGTATTTTATAATTTACAAAGTATTTTACAGGTATTTTCTCTCATTGAATATGAAGTTCTAATTTCCCTTTCCCTTTCCCCAGTGTTAAGCGATAAAACTGAAACTAAAACAATTATAAGTAATATTATTCAAATGTCTGATAGGGAATCCATGCAATCAAGATTATTAGCATGTCATTTAGAAAAACACTTTACCATTGAAAGACATATTTTACTTATTCAGAATAATGGAGAATCAAGGTATTTGTTTGAGTCTTAAAAAGTAAAAGATGTTTCTCTTTTTATAAATGAAAATATAGGCTGCAGTGAAATACCATGGTGACAGATCAAAAGAAAGTTTAATGAATTTCGCCATGCAGCATGTTACAAGCACAGTGACAGAATTATGGACAGGTAATTTTGTCTTCATAATTTGCTTGATTTTCAAGGATTCTTTGAATTGGTATTTCAGATTTTTCAGTAGTAATATTAATGTTCTGGTCATATTATCTTTTCCATGCTTCTTAGAAAGGAATTATGTCATTTGTTCTGAGCTCTGCTCAATAGTAGGCCTTTAATAAATTTAATTTATACAGAAATGAAAAGTTTGATGTAGGATATGGATATGAGATGGGGCTAGGTGAAAAGGCAACTTTGAAAGTACAACTGAATATTTAGTAAAACAAGTGTTTTCTTTCTTTCATAAGTATACTATATCAGGTGTAAATTTATGCCTATTCAATTTAATTTTGAAGTTTAAGAACTCTTCTAATCTCAGGCATTTAATTCATCAGGTGTCTTTAGGGGAGTTATGTAATTACTCTATACTACCCATGAAATGATAGTATTTACTTCTAAAGGGATGCTCATATCATTTAATGAATCTAGTTATGTCTCCAAAGCTGTTAAGTACTAGGGCTGCAGCCATAAACTGTATAATCTTTGCCTTCTGGGACCCCATTATTAAACCATTAAAATACAGAGTAGCGACTATTATGATAGAGGTAAGCTTAGGGAAGCTTGAAGGATATGAAAGAATTCAGGTGGGGAAAGGAGGAAGGGTTAGGAAATTCTTCCTTAATGAAATCAGATCCAATCTGTCGTGAAAGTGAAGAGGAATCCTTAAAAGGTCACTGTATTGGGAATCTGCAATGTTTCATGAATCTAACAAAAGATGGGTGATGAGTAGAGTGGTTTGGGGCAGGAATGACCAACTGAACGGGTAGACAAAGCTCAGATCACAAGGGGCCTACCTTGCCAAATTGAGTTTCTTTCTTAATAATAAATTTAGATTTTATGATTGAAAAAGTCAGGGTAGGAATTTGACATGCTCAATAGGAATCCTGAAAACTGCTCAAGAGTAGATTGGAAATGGATGAGATTAGATGGGAAAACCCATGTAGAAAATGGTTTCCATTGTGGAATAGTAAATGATCAGAAATTTTCTTTATTTTCTCTTAAGGAAATTTTGTTAACTCCATACAAACTGCATTTGCTGCTGGTATTGGCTGGCTGATCACTTTTTGTTCCGAAGGAAGCGGTAATATTATTTGTTGTTTTGTTATGATGAAGAGACCATGACATTTGATTTTTAGGTGACAGTCTTTTTTTCCATAGTTTTATTGAGATATAATTGACATAGAACATTCTGTAACTTTAAAGTGTACAATTTGTTGATCTGAAACACTTATATATTAGAAAATGATGACCACCATGATAATAACTAACACCTCTATCCTGTCACATAATTACCATTTCTTTCTGGTCATGAGAACATTTAAGATCTACTCTTTGAACAAGTTTCAAGGATTTAATAGTATTATTAGATATAATCACTGTATCCTGTATATTAGGTCCTCAGAAGTTGCTAGTCTTATAACTGGAAGTAGGTGACTAGGTAAAAATCTTAAGTATGCTACTATAATTGATTATTTTCTATTTTCAAAGTACAATTTATACTTTTTAATTTAATGTTATAATTTTTATTTAATGAATATTTATCTTTTTATTATTTTACACATAAGGCTATAAAATTATTAATTGCTTGTTTTAAGTTGAAGTATATATTTGCAGTATTGTGTTGGTTTCAGGTGTATAGCATTCAGTTTGAATTTTTGTGAGATACCTTCCATTATAGGTTGTTACACGATACTGGGTAAAATGCTCTGTACTATACAGTAAATCCTTCATATCAATTTTATGTGTAGTAGTTTGTATCCGTTAATCCCACATCCCACACTCCCTAATCTGCCCCTTCCTTCGTCTCTCTCCCTTCTGGTGACCGTTCGTTTGTTTTCTGTGTCTGTTTTGTATATAGATTGATTTGTATTATTTTTTGGATTTCACATATAAATATCATATTTGTCTGACTTCACCAAGTATAATATTCTCTAGGTCCATTCGTGTTTCTGCAGATGGCAACCTCTCATTCTTTTTATGGCCAAGTACTACTCCTTGTATCCACACCACATCTTCTTAAGCGAGTTGTCTGTTGATGGACACTTGGGTTATTTCTCGTTTTGGGCTATTGTAAATAGTTCTGCTTGAACATACAGGTGCATATATCTTTTCAAATTAAGAGTTTTCGTCTTTTCTGGACATATACCCAAGAGTGGAATTGCTGGATCATACAGTAGATCTATTTTTAGTTTTTTTGAGCAACTGCTATACTCTTTTCCATTGTGACTGTACCAATTTATATTCCCACCAACAGTTTGGTGGGGTTCCTTTTCTCCACACTCTTTCCAGCATTTATTTGTAGACTTTTTGATAATAGCCATACTTACTGGTGTCAGATGATACCTCATTGTGGTTTTGATGTGCATTTCTGTAATAAGTAGCCACATTGAGCATCTTTTCATGTGCTTGTTGGCTGTCTATATATATGTCCTCTTTGGAGAAATGTCTGTTTAGGTCTTATGCCTTTTTTCTTTTTTTTGGCTGCACAACACAGCATGTGGGATCTTAGTTCCCCAACCAGGGATCGAACTCGTGACCCCTGCATTGTAAGTGTGGATTCTTAACCACTAGACAGTCAGGGAGGTCCCTGCCCATTCTTTGATTGGGTTGTTTGTTTTTTTGTTATTTCTGTCATGTGAGCTATTTACTATTTTAGTTATTAACCCCTTTTGGTCACATCATTTGCAAATATTTTCTCCTGTTTCTTAAGTTGTCTTTTCATTTTATTGATGACTTCTTTACTGTGCATACTTACAAAACCAAGCTTGTAAGTTTGCTTAGGTCCCAGTTGTTCACTTCTGCTTTTTTATTGTGTTTGCCCTGGGAAACTGATCTAAGAAAATATTGCTACAATGTATGTCTGAGAATGTTTTGCCTGTGTTTTCTTCTGGGAGTTTTATGAGGTCATGTCTTATATTTAGGTCTTTAAAGCTTTATTTTTTTTTTTTAATTGAAGTATAGTTGTTTTACAGAGTTGTGTTAACTACTGCTATAGTTAAGTGGTTGAGTTATACATGTGCATGCATCCTTTTTTTTCTGTTCCTTTCCATTGTGGTTTATCATAGGAGATTGAATGTAGTTCTCTGTGCTGTACACTGGCACCTTGTTTATTCATTCTGTGCAACCCCAACCTCCTCCTCTGTCCCTCCTCCCAAACCCTCTCCTCCTGGCAACCACCCGTATGTTCTCTGTATCTGTGACTGTGCTTCATAGATAGATTCATTTGTGTCATATCTTAGATTTCACATATAAGCCATATCATATGCTGTCTTCCTCTTTCTTCTGACTTACTTCACTTAGTATGATAACCTCTAATTCCATCCATGTTACTGCACATGGCATCATGTTGTTGTTTTTTATGGCTGAATGGTATTCCATTGTGTATATGTACCACATCTTTATACATTAACTTGCTAATGGACATTTAGGTTGATTTCGTATCTTGGCTGTTGTGAATAGTGCTGCTCTGAGCATAGGGCTGCATGTATCTTTTTGGATTGGAGTTTTGTCTGGATATATAAAGCGTCTGCCTATAATGCGGGAGACTGGAGTTCAATCCCCAGGTCACGAAGATCCCCTGGAGAAGGAAATGGCAACCCACTCCAGTACTCTTGCCTGGAAAATCCCATGGATGGAGAAGTCTGGTAGGCTACAGTCCATGGGGTCGGGAAGAGTCGGACACAACTGAGTGACTTCACTTTCACACCTAAGGATGGGATTACTGGATCGTATGGTAATACTAGTTTTAGTTCTTTGAGGAAGCTCCATAATGTTCTCTATAATGGCAGTACCAACTGACATTCCACCAGTAATGTCAGAGGGTTCCCTTTAATCCACACCCTTTCCAGCATTTGTTATTTGTAGACTTTTTAATGATGGTCACTCTGACTGGAAGTGGTACCACACTTCAGTTATCATTTGCATTTCTCTAACAGTTAACAACATTGAGCATCTTTTCATGTGTCTATTGGCCATCAGTATTTCTTCTTTGAAGAAATGTCAGTTTTATGTCTTCTGGTCATTTCTTGATTGGGTTGACTTTTTGCTGTTGGATTTTATGAACTATTTGTACATTTTGGAAATTAAGCCCTGGTTGGCTGCACTGTTTCCAGATATTTTCTCCCATTCTGTAGGTTGTCTTTCTGTTTTGTTCATGGTTTCTTTTGCTATGCAAAAGCTTTTAAATTTGATTAGGTCCCATTTGTTTACTTTTGTTTTTATTCTTATTCTCTTGGGAGACTGACCTAAGAAAACATTGGTATGATTTATGTCAGAGAATGTTTTGCCTGTGATTTCTTCTAGAAAGTTTATGGTGTTACATCTTCTATTTGAGTCTTGAAGCTAGTTTGAGTTGATTTCCCTATGGTGACAGAGTGTGTTCCAGCTTCGTTGATTTACCTGTGGCTCTCTAACATTTCCAGCACCACTTGCTGAAGAGATTATCCTTCCCCATTGTATATTCTTGCCTCCTGTGTTGAAAGTTAATTGACCATAGGTGTGTGAGTTTATTTCTGGGCTTTCTTTCAGTCCCATTGATCCATATATCTGTTTTTGTGCCAATACCTCACTCTTTTGATTAATGTAGCTTTGTAACATTGTCTGAAGTTTGGTAGGATGATGCCTCCTGCTTTATTTTTCTTTAGGATTGCTTTGAACAATTCCTTGTCTGATTGCTGTGGCTAGGACCTCCAGTACTTGAATAGAAGCGATGAGAGTGGGCATCCTCATCTTGTTCCTGAATTTAGAGGGAAGGCTTTCAGTTTTTCACTGTTGAGTATTATGTTTTTGCCTGTGGCTTTGTTGTAAGTGACCTTTTCTTATGTTGTAATATGTTCCCTGTACAACCACTTTTATGAAAGTTTTTATCATGAATGGCTGTTGAATTTTGTGAAATGATTTTTCTGCATCTGTTGAGATGATCATGTGATTTTTTTTCTTTTTTGTTAGTATCACATTGATTGATTTGCACATGTGGAAACATTCTTGTGACCCTGAAGTGAATCCAGCTTGATCATGGTATATGATCCTTTTTCAGTGTTGGTGGATTCAGTTTGCTAATCTTTTGTTGAGAATTTTTGCACCTATATTCAGCAAAGATGAGCTCAGTTCAGTTCAGTCGCTCAGTCTTGTCCAACTCTTTGCAACCCCGTGAACCACAGCACGCCAGGTCTCCCTGTCCATCACCAACTCCCAGAGTTTACCCAAATTCATGTCCATTGAGTCAGTGATGCCATCCAACTATCTCATCCTCTGTCGTCCCCTTCTCCTCCCACCCCCAATCTTTCCCATCATCAGGGTCTTTTCAGAAGAGTCAGCTCTTCGCATCAGGTTGCCAAAGTATTGGAGTTTCAGCTTCAGCATCAGTCCTTCCAATGAACATCCAGGACTGATTTCCTTTAGGATGGACTGGTTGGATCTCCTTGCAGTCCAAGGGACTCTCAAGAGTCTTCTCCAACACCACAGTTCAAAAACATCAATTCATCAGTGCTCAGCTTTCTTTATAGTCCAACTCTCACATCCACACATGACTACTGGAAAAACCATAGCCTTGACTAGACGGACCTTTGTTGACAAAGTAATGTGTCTGGTTTTTAATATGTTGTCTAGGTTGGTCATACCTTTCCTTCCAAGGAGCAAGCATCTTTTAATTTCATGGCTGCAGTCACCATCTGCAGGGATTTTTGGAGCCCCAAAAAAGTCAGCCACTGTTTCCCCATCTATTTGCCATGAAGTGATGGGACTGGATGCCATGATCTTAGTTTTCTGAATGTTGAGCTTTAAACCAACTTTTTCACTCTCCTGTTTCACTTGCATCAAGAGTCTCTTAAGTTCTTCTTCACTTTGTGCCATAAGGGTGGTGTCATCTGCATATCTGAGGTTACTGATATTTCTCCTGGCAATCTCAATTCCAGCTTGTGCTTCCTCCAGCCCAGCGTTTCTCATGATGTACTCCGCATATAAGTTAAATAAGCAGGGTAACAATATACAGCCTTGACGTACTCCTTTTCCTATTTGGATCCAGTCTGTTGTTCCATGTCCAGTTCTAACTGTTGCTTCCTGACCTGCATACAGATTTCTCAAGAAGCAGGTCAGGTGGTCTGGTATTCCCATCTCTTTCAGAATTTTCCTCAGCAAAGATACTAACCTGTAATTTTCTTCTTTCTAGTGTCTTTGTCTAATGAATTTGGGACTGTTCCCTTTTCTTGAGTTTTTTTAAACTTTTGTGTTTTGATTTGTGGTTACCATGGAATTCATGTATGTTGACCCATATCTCTTACCAATTAGTACTTGATTTAAACTGATAGTCATTCAAGTTTAAAGATGTACATTTTTACTCCCCGCCTTGCTGTTTTGCAGTTTTGATACCCTGTCTTACATCCTATGCTTGTAGTTACAGTCACTTTAGTCTGCATCCTAGCTTATATAAGTTGATCTTCAATCATTACTGTGTATTTGCATTGCCCATTTTGAGTTCCTTGTTGCTCCTTTTCAGTTTAGAGAAGACCCTTCAGTATTTCTTTTAGGGTAGGTTTAATATTACTGAATCCTTTCAGTTTCTTGTCAGAGAAATTTTTTTATCTCCCCTTCTGAATGGTAATTTTGCTGTATAGAGTATCCTTGGTTGCAGGTTTTTCCCTTTCAAGACTTTAGTAGATTATGCCACTGCCTTCTGGCCTGCAGATCAGTTGATAGCCTTATGCGGGTTCCCTTGTAATTTATTCTTCATTTTTCTCTTGCTACCTTTAGAATTCTCTTTTTATGTTTAAGTTTTGCCATCTTAATTATGATATGTTTTGTTGTGGGTCTGTTTGGGTCATCTTCTTTGGGAACCTCTGTGCTTCTTGTACCTGGTTGGTTATCTCTTTTTCTTTAGATTTAGGAAGTTTTCAGCCATAGTTTCTTCAAATAAATTTTTGATGTCTTTCTCTCTTCTTCTGGAACCCCTGTTACGCATGCTGCTGCTGCTGCTAAGTCACTTCAGTCGTGTCCGACTCTGTGCAACCCCATAGACGTTAGACCACCAGGCTCCACTGTCTCTGGGATTCTCCGGGCAAGAACACTGGAGTGGGTTGCCATTTCCTTCTCCAGTGCATGAAAGTGAAAAGTGAAAGTGAAGTCGCTCAGTTGTGTCCGACTCCTAGCAACCCTATGGACTGCAGCCTACCAGGCTCCTCCATCCATGGGATTTTCCAGACAAGAGTACTGGAGTGGGAAGCCATTGCCTTCTCCTCCTGTTATGCATAGGTTGGCATATTTTACATTATCCCTTATATCTTGTATGTTTCTTTCAGGTTTTTTCCCGTTTGTCTTTCTGTCCTTCTAATTGGGTGATTTCTATTATGTCTTCTAGATTATTTATTTATTCTTCTGTGTCATTTAGTTAGCTGTTCATTGCTTCTAGATTGCTTTTTATCTTAAAAATTGAATTATCTGTTTCTGATTGGTTCATCTTTATAGTTTCTAGTTCTTGTTACAGTGATCTGCATTTATATTGATCTTAATTCATTTAGCATTTTTATTGCCACTTTTTTGAGTTTGGGGTCAGCTAGACTAGTAAGCTCTATTTCATTATTTGTTTCAGTGGATTTTTCTTAGTCTTTCAATTGAAAATATTTCCTCTGCCTTTTCATTTTACTTTCTCTGTCTCTGAATTTAGGAGAAATGATCATCTATTATGGTCTTAGAAGGGTGTTTTTATATAGGAGCATCCCTATGTAGACCATATGTACAGTGGCTGGTGCGAGAGTTAGTTTCGATATGGACACCAGTCACATCTTTCTTCAGGTCCTTACATTTTGCCACTGGTTGTTATCACCTTACTGGGGGGCGTTGGTTGGTTTGGGAAGTCTGAAGCCTGGGCAGAGTGTGAGGTGGGACTTTTCTCTTTGCTCCATGGCTGCTGCCACCCTGTCAGGGATAAGGTTTGCTTCCCAGTTGTTGGAGTAGCTGCCCTGAGGGTCAGGGTGAACCAGGCTGCATTCTCCTTGAATGGTGCCCTGCCCCTTGAGGAGGCGGCTACTGCAGCAAGTGAGGCCTGTGTGCTCACAGGACCAGTGTAGGTGTCTGAGGCTCTACTCAGATGCAGCCCAAGGTCTCATCCTTTCTTCTGTTGTGTTCACACCAGATCTAGTGCACGGCTGTGGTTTGGAGTGGGTGGGGCTAGAGCATTTGCCAGGCTGGGGGCCGCGGCATTGTGGCTCTCAGACTTGCGGTGGCTCTGCCACCACCCAGAGAGCAGGGCTGCCTCAGTGCCAGTCCTCTCCCAGGACCTGTCTCCCCCAACCCCAAGGCCAGGGCGCGGGCCCCACTGGGAGGCAAGCTGCAGGGGGCCCCGTAGCACTGCCCAAGCGAGTGCTGACATGACCACCTCCGCTGCATCCAGATCACATCCCGGGGCCCCAGTCTGTCTCTGCCTAGCTAGGCTGAGCCTTCCCAGGACCTGCTCGGCCCAGATCTAATATCAGGCTGTGGTGTGGAGTGAGAAGGGCCAGATACTCAAGCTACTCATGTTGGAGAGTGTGGTGAGGTGGCGACTGCCCCTCCAAAGCTCTGCCCCTGATGATTGGTAAGCCAGCACATGTGTTTGCCTCATGAATCGTCTCGGCTTCTCTAGGCCTTCTGTCTGTCCCAGCAGTTCTCCCAGGAGCCAAGGGTCTTGTCTCCTCCTCACAGGACCCCCATGACAGCATTGCCCAGTCTGTGACTCAGCCCACTTGCTCCCCATGGTGAGGGTCTCCTTGTGGCAACCTTCTTTTCCTTTCAGATCCCTTTCAGGCAGGTGTCCCAACCCTCTGCCTTTTCCATCCTACCTGGTTGTGGGAACATCTTTTTTGCAGCCTTGGTTGTACAGGAGTCGTTCTGCCGTTTTCCAGTTAGTTTTCCATGAGAATTGTTCCACATACTTTTTTATTTTTTTTTTTGATGTTTGTCGGGGGTGGTGAACTCTATGTCCTCCTACTCTACCATCTCGATCTCTCTTCTACAGTTATTAATTTCTTAAAGTATTGTGGTTTATGTTCAGTGGGCAGATTTTTCAGCTTAATTGTACTCATAGGAAATTATACTGTAAGATACTAATGTTTTGGTCACTTTGCAAAAATAATTGTTGATAGACATAACTCTCCCAAAATGATTTCTTCCCTCATACTTATTTCAAAAATGTACATGTTTGCCTCATTAAAGTATACATTTCAAGATGATAAATTTCCAATTCTAGGACCTTTTACCTTAGTAAATTAAGTTGAAAGTTCAATACCCTACACAAACTGTAAACTATATTTAAGCAATAAGATTGGTTAAAAATTAGTCCTAGTGTTAGAAAATATCCCAATTAATACACTCCTCTTTGTTTAACTCCAACAAGGGTCTTTTCCCTATACTTCATCTCTCAGCCTTTAAGCCGCTGTGTTGAAAAGCTATTGCTTTACAGCTAAAATCAACCACTTATTCCATCTTAGGAAGGTATTGCCTTGCAGCAAAAATCACTTAATCACCTTTAGTCTGTCATTGAGGGATTTTATCTCATTTTGACCTAATGCACAAATTTCTGTCCTTTCCACACATAAAGAAAACTTTAAAAACTTTCTCACATTATCTTACTTCTGTAACAGGTAGGTTGATTTTGCCTGTCTCTGTAAGGTCCATGATGCTGTATCTCCCTTATAAATCTATCTCATTGTATCCTAGCATTCATATTTATAGAACTTTCATAAAAGAGTTCAGTTCAGTTGTTCAGTTGTGTCTGACTCTTTGTGACCCCATGGACTGCAGCACACCAGGCTTTCCTGTCCATCACCAACTCCCAAAGCTTGCTCAAACTCATGTTCAATTGAGTCGGTGATGCCGTCTAACCATCTCATCCTCTGTCGTCCCCTTCTCCTCCTGCCTTCAATCTTTCCCAGCATCAGGTTCTTTTCTAATGAGTCAGTTCTTCACATCAGGTTGCCAAAGTACTAGAGCTTCAGCATCAGTCCTTCCGATGAACACCCAGGACTGATCTCCTTTAGGATGGACTGGTTGGATCTCCTTGCAGTCCAGGGGACTCTCAAGAGTCTTCTCCAACACCACAGTTCAAAAGCATCAATTCTTCAGCGCTCAGCTTTCTTTATAGCCCAACTCTCATATCCATACATGACCACTGGAAAAACCATAGCTTTGACTAGACAGACCGTTGTTGGCAAAGTAATGTCTCTGCTTTTTAATATACTATCTAGGTTGGTCATAGCTTTTCTTCCAAGGAGGAAGCACCTTTTAATTTCATGGCTGCAGTCACCATCTACAGTGATTTTGGAACGCAAGAAAATAAAGTCCTCACTGTTTCCATTGTTTCCTCATCTATTTGCCATGAAGTGATGGGACTGGATCCATGATCTTAGTTTTCTCAGTGTTGAGTTTTAAGCCAGCTTTTTCACTCTCCTCTTTCACTTTTATCAAGAGGCTCTTCAGTTCCTCTTCGCTTTCTGCCATAAGGGTGAAGAAAGAGTGAAGAAGCTATTTAAGATTGTACTGTATTTTAAGAATGTGTTGTATATGTTAATCAGATAGGTCCATAACATTTTATTACCCCAAATTATGAGATCCTTGGTTCAAGGGGACTGTTGATAGGAGGAGCTATTTTAGAATAATATCTTAAAGAGGTGCTTGAGAGGGAATGCCTTCTTTTTTCTTTGGCTCGAAATCCTGAGAAACTCAGGGGAGAGAACAGGAGAGGGAGGGAAGGGAGGGAAAAGAGGTCAGAAGGAGGGAGAAGAATGAAGACATTGACCCCTGTGTCTACCTAGTAAATAATAGTCTCAGTATTTACCAGCACAGCCCAGTTAATTGCCTTAGAATCAACATCATGGTTTGCAGCAAATGAAAGTATAGATTTAATGCTTAATAGCTGAAATTTCCTCATAAGTTTCTTTTTTCCCCCCAGATTGTTTGACCTCACAGACACGTCTCAGGTTAAGTGGTATGTTGGTAAGCATCAATTATTTTGCAAAACTGTATCACCATGTTAAGAAAGACATTTAAAAACTGATTCCAGATAGTTTTTTGCTGGTTTCTTGAACATTTAACTCACTTGTTTGTAATCTTCCTTGTTTTCTGATCTATGTATTCATAGTTATAAGCATCTTTCTAACTGATTGGCTGTGTTCAATATATTTTAACATGTAGTGCTTTCATTCACTCTTAAATATTCTATAATTTAATTATGAGTTCCTCTTCAACCAGAGTTAGTGTTTTTGTCATTTCCAAACCATAATTTTTTGTTGTTTTTTTACTTACTTAGCTTTCATCATATTATGGTCAGGGAGTACAGTTTATGTGTTGATACTTTAACACTATAAAAACTGTCGTTGTGGGTTGGGAGTTGGCCAAGATTTGGTTTGTTTTACAAAGATTGTTAGTGTTCTATGTATGCTTTAAAATGTTTCCTATGTGAGGTTAATTTTTATATCTATTTGATCAAATTTATTAATCATGTTATTCAAATCTGCATCATTTTTCATGTTCTTTTTAAAAGTTTAATTTTTATGGTAGTGAAGTTGTATTTTTGCTAAATATAAATCCTTTTAACTTTTTTCAACTTACAATATTATTTTTTCATTTTAGGATGGTCTTGTTAATGTAGGATGGGTGGACTGTGCCACCCAGGACAACCTTTGTAAGAGTTTGGATATTACAACAAGTACTACTGCCTATTTTCCTCCTGGAGCCACTTTAAATAACAAAGAGAAAAGCGGTATTTTGGTATGAATCCCTTTAATTTCTTTACATATAGATACATAACACATGCATTCAAATGTATCATTTTGTAAACAATGAGCAAAAAAAAAAATGAACCAGTTTCTATCATCTGATTATGGAACACTTAGTTTATTTAGAACAAATACTTAATATTTGGGATTCTGTTTAATACTTCAGTTTCTAAAGTTACACTGTAAGGATTATTTTTAAACTGCACTTTTAACAATCCCAAAGGTAAGGAATACATTCTTAGGTTAAATGAATATTTATTGGTTTCCATTTATTTCTATATTTTCTAATGTTAAAATATAGATTATTGGTAGGTTTAGCTGGAATCTGGTGTCGTGTTTTTTTTTTAAGCCTCCTGTTTGACTCTGATATAAACTTAGTTTGGTGATCTACTGGTCTGGTTCACCTTCCTAATTTTATGAATGAAGAAGCTGAATCAAGATAGCTGTCAAGGAGCTGAAACAAATACTGGGATATCAGATAGGTCTGTAGAGAACCCACCAAAAAAGATGCTAATATAAGACAAACTACCTACAGTTTTCTGTTTTTATTTTTGTTTTTTTAATATTGATGTAGATTACATGTATTCATTATAGAAATTCATATTTGATTTATAAATGTGTAAAGAAAGATTTGAGATTTGTTAAAACTAAATCACCCATTGGCAAGCACCATCAAATCTTGGTACATACCCTTCCAGGTCTCTGCTTATATGTGTATGAAATTATGACTTCATGCAGACAACTCACCAGCTTTGCCTTTGGCCCAGACCTCTGCCCTCCACTACAGACATGGTTATTCTCCAGCCTGCTCAGTATCTCCCCTGGGATATTAATTGATGTTGCAAACTTAGGTGTCTGTAACTATACTCCTGATATTTCCCCATACATCTGTTCTACCTAGTTTTTCCGCATCTCAGTTAATGAAAGCTTCATCTTTTATGATTAAGGCCAAGTACCTTGGAGTCATTCTTGGCCCCTCTTTTTCTCATACCTTATAACCTATACCCTATTCGTCAGGAAAATAGTTGGATCTCTTTACAGTCTTTCATAATCCACCTCATTGTCCTTATCACCTTATATATTATATTCTTTCAGCTTATATACTATATTTACTCTCTTGCAGTAAATTTTAAGTTTGAATTTTTCACTGACATATCCTAAGGGCGTAGAAGAGTATCTGGCACATAAGTACTATATGTAGTTCCAGAATCCTGGAGTGGGTAGCCTTTCCATTCTCCTGGGGATCTTCCCAACCCAGGGATCGAACCCAGGTCTCCCACATTGCAGGCGGATCCTTTACCAGCTGAGCCACAGGGGAAGTCCATTTAGTGCCGGCTTAACTGCTTTATACTGTGTGTGTGTGTGTGTCCCTGAGTAGTAGTATATATGATAATTCCTGTGAATGTGTGCATCAACAATTCCTAGAAACTAATTAATTGACTAAATGTAACACAATGAGTTTAACCAGTCCTCTCTGGATAGATATTTAAATTTCTACTACTTCATGATTACAAGTAGTGTTATAATGAACTGTCTTGTTCATCTTTGTGTAGTTCTTCCATTATCTATTTAGAATGAGATGGCTGTAGCAATTGCAAATTCAATTCATGTTGCCAGATTTCCCAGAAAACCTGGGTTTATTTTACACTGTGCCACTAGCTCATGAGGATTTCCTGTACTCTAGTCAAGTCAACACTAAACATAGGCTCTTACCTTCAGTACAACAATCTCATTTTTCAGTGAGATCTTGGGACTTTTTGGTTAAAACAGCAAGCTCAGATACGATCTCAGGAAACATAAATAAGTGCTATTAGAAGTGTGATAACACAGGGTGATGAATTAAAGTCCTTGTCCCTCCTAAAGCATTCAAGTTTTTTAAAAATGTAAAATAATATGCTAGCTAAATACATTTGGCAGGTGAAATTTAGAGGCTGCACAATACCCTTGTAAATAAAACTACCAGTTTTACTCTAAAACATATTTATAATGAAGTTCTAGTGAATTTATAAATTACATAAAATTTTTGATGATTGTGAGTAAAGTGAATGAGCTTTATAGTACTGAAACAGGAAAGCTTTCTGTTTTGACCTTTTAAGCCCTTTGGTAACAAATTATTTCATAGGTTTTTGAGAGTATGCTATAGATTTTTTTTAAGCAGAAAAACCAAGTTTTCTGTTCTTATAGACATTGTTTCTATCCATTTGATTGTGTTCTCATGTTGAACATAATTAAACTGAATACAGTAATATTTCTACAGGTTTTTAATAGAGTTTTATATCTTTGAGGTGATATTTGAATTGTCAAGAAAATAGTTTAAAGATAGACAATAAACTGATCAACCCCTGTATACATTTTCTTGATGTAACTGCTGCTACACTCTTGGTAACAGCAGCTGCTACCATGAGAATTAGACTGACAAAGAGAGTTCCATGAAAAAAAATATGCTGAGGATAAAATATGGACAGAAATAGACAGTTGTTAGAATTGAGATGTGTCTATTTCAGTTGTTTACATTTTAAATAACAGACCTAGATCTAAAGTGTATTTATTTTAAAATACATATTTTACGTATATACATTTTACCCTGCAAAACTCCTCAGTGGTTTGGTTCAGGGACTTTATTTCTATAAACCTCTGTAATAAACAAGGTCCATTCCAGTTTTCCCGTAAGTTTTTCTTAATTCCTTCAGTTCAGTTGTCACCAGTCATGTCTGACACTTTGCGACCCCATGGACCACAGCACGCCAGGCCTCCCTGTCCATCACCAACTCCTGGAGTTTGCCCAAACCCATGTCCATTGAGTCGGTGATGCCATCCAACCATCTCATCCTCTGCTCTCCCCTTCTCCTCCTGCCCTCAATCTTCACAGCATCAGGGTCTTTTCCAGTGAGTCAGCTCTTCACATCAGGTGGCCAAAGTATTAGAGTTTCAGCTTCAACATCAGTCCTTCCAGTGAACACCCAGGACTGATCTCCTTGCAACAAGGGACTCTCAAGAGTCTTCTCCAACACCACAGTTCAAAAGCATCAATTTGTTGGTGCTCAGCTTTCTTTAGAGTCCAACTCTCACATCCACATGACCACTGGAAAAACCACAGCCTTGACTAGACAGACCTTTGTTGACAAAGTAATGTCTCTGCTTTTTAATATGCTATCTAGGTTGGTCATAACTTTCCTTCCAAGGAGCAAGCGTCTTTTAATTTCATAGCTGCAGTCACCATCTGCAGGGATTTTTGGAGGCCCCAAAAAAAGTCAGCCACTGTTTCCCCATCTGTTTCCCATGAAGTGATGGGACCGGATGCCATGGTCTTAGTTTTCTGAATGTTGAGCTTTAAGCCACCTTTTTCACTCTCCTCTTTCACTTTCATCAAGAGGCTCTTCAGTTCCTCTGCACTCTCTGCCAGTATTAATTGGGATATGAAGCGTCTTGTCTTGCTGCTGCTGCTGCTTACTTGCTTCAGTCATGTCCAGCTCTGTGCGACCCTGTGGACTGTAGCCCGCCAGGCTCCTCTGTCCATGGAATTCTCCAGGCAAAAGTACTGCAGTGGGTTGCTTTGCCCTCCTCCAGGGGATCTTCCCAACCCAGGGATCGAACCCTGGTCTCCTACATTGCAGGCAGATTCTTTACCACTGAGCCACCAGGGAAGCCCATAAAGCATCGTATTAGATCGTCAAATATTCTATTGTTTTAACAATTTTTAGAAAATTTGTAAAGCACTGGCATTCTGTAAAACATGGTTAGCATTAAAATTAGATTGAATATGATACTGCTTTTCCCGCCAGTGAGCCAGAGGTCACTCAAGGTTATTTTGAGGATTATCATAGCATACCCAGCACAGTTAACAGACAATTCCAGGTAATAAAACACCTAATAATGAAATTTATTTTGCATCACTATTTTTAAAGAAACAACCCACTTATATAACTCTTTAATAATTGCCAAAATATGATATACGGTCTTTTTTTGAAAAGGAAACATTTAGGATAAATAGCTTGAAAACTGGTTTTCTGTGGTTTTCTCTTAAAAGTTCTTTCTCTGAAAACTGAAAAACTAAGATACTGAAATACTCAAATGTTGGTTTAAAAAATAACAGTATGATTCTCTTATTTTAGTTTCTTAATTCATTGGATGCTAAAGAAATTTATTTGGAAATAATGCATAATCTTCCAGATTTTGAACTCCTTTCAGCAAATACACTACAGGTAATTAATAAATAGTAACAAACATTGATAACATTTCAGATCTTAATACTATCAGTTGATTCCAGGTTAAACTCTAATGCCAGGTTTGCTGGGATTGCAACTTGAGGGTGGACCCATAGCTTTGTGTAACTAGTCCTGAAGGCAAGTTGAGGAAGAGCACCAGAAAAGACAAGATACTGGTCACAAAGCAACTTTGAATCTGATCTGGAGCTCTCTGTTCCTCCTCCAGAACAATTTGTATTGTTCACTGAGAATTACAGAGCAGCTTTAGAAACATTCAGTTTGTAGTAGAATCAATTAATTTCTGCTTATTGATCCCAGAGTTTTCTAAGTCTATATCCCTATGAAACTTTATGTTAAACCTGAAAAAAATCTGACTTCCTCACCTTTCAGCTTTTTAGTTGTGTCATTGAAACCGTGTTTTTTCTTAGCACAGTCATCTACCTTAAGATATTATAATTTAGTGGCTGTTTTCTTTCTATAGTACTATATAATTGGTTTATATATAAACTACAAAATAAGAATATGACTGGGTCTGAATTTTAGACAGTATTTTGAAGTAATGGGTAGGATAGTTAAAGAAATAAAGATTAGAACTCTTAGGATTTCTCATCTCTTGTTTCTTTCCCTTTATCACTTTCTTTTTAAATCACTTTTAAGGATCGTTTAGCTCATCATCGGTGGCTCTTATTTTTTCACTTTGGACAAAATGAAAATTCAAATGATCCTGAGTTGAAGAAACTAAAAACTCTACTTAAAAATGAACATATTCAAGTAAGAAAAATATATTCTGCCTACCCTTCTGCTTTTGTGCTGTCTTAATTTAGTACATAAAGTTATGTTTTAAATAACATTAAAATGTTTAGTTGAATTCTAAATTTAGAAACCCCTACATGCTTTTGTTCTTCTATTTTGTTTTTTTTTTGTACTGCAAATTAAAATGATATCTGAAAAAGTTTAACCTTCATTACTCTTGAGCAGTTAGTATGTGATAAATCTATATGATATAGTTTTTCTGGAATGCAGAAAACTATACCCTTTTTTAAGTACTTGTTTCTTTATATAAGTAATTCATGTTCGTTATTTTAAATTAAGATATTATAAATAAGTACAAAAATGAGTTAGATCTAAAAATTATCCGTATTTTCACCACTGTTAAGAATTTTCTGTTAATAACTGTTGAGGCTTTTTAAACATGGGTTTGTGTTAGCATGTGCACATATGTATATATATGCACCTATATGCATATTGTAATGGCCATGGTAACAGACATACACATGTAAATGTATATGTATGCTTTTATTCTCTTCTGGAAAATTTTCCATTTAGTGATTAAAAACTTTCTACATACCAGTGTAATATATATTGGTGTGTATATTTTTGTGTACATATGTGTATCAGTCATCATCTAGAGACTGAGTAGTATCTCACTGTATGGCTGCACTATAATTGTTTAACCTGTTCCGTCTTACTGGTAACTTTCAGTTGTTTCCATTTCTATGTCAGAAAGATACACTGGAAAAGTGCACTGTGAGGAATTTCTTGAGCCAAGGTTATATTTTCTTAAAAGTGTTTTGTCCTCGTTATCAGAGCCTGCCTTCTTACTGACAGCGTGGGAGTGACCACTTCCCTACACCAGGGCCAGGCCTGGTGTTACACTCTTTATAAGCAGCACTGCTTGGATAGGCCAGAAGGGAGATGTTAATAATACTCATTTTTATTTTTTGCTTTCTACTCTATTTTCTATGTATGTCTCTGCCCCACTTTCTTTCTCCTGATGGGATGTTTATCTTTTATTTCTTAATAGAAATCCTCTATCTTAAATGCTGCAAATATTTTTTCTTGGTTTATCATTGGCCTACTAGCTTTTTCCCTACACTATATGAAAATGTCAACCTTTTTATTATTTCTGCTTCTGCAGTCTTAAGAGGTTCTTTCTCTCCCCCTTGTCAAGATAATATGAATATCCTCTAAGTTTTTAGAAGGATGGGCTTCATAAACAACTTAGTATTTTCTTGGTAATTTCCTCTCAGATTTTTGAGATCTCCAAGAGGCATTATTTAAACTAAACGTAGTTTCAGTGTTAAATGTAAATTAATGATTCCTGTTTCTTATTTTCATGGTCCACTAACTTGTTTAGAAGATGTGTTGTTTTTATAGCAATGTCATTTTTGGATTATCCTTATGAATATTTAATTGAATGGATAAGATTTTATTTTCAACATATTGAACTTTCTCTTTTCCTTTAGGTTGGCAAGTTTGACTGTTCCTCTGCACCAGACGTCTGTAGTAACTTCTATGTTTTTCAGCCATGTCTCGCAGTATTTAAAGGACAGGGAACCAAAGAATTTGAAATTCATCATGGTAAGAAGGAAAAAATGATTTTAAAATTTCTTCATTTTTAATTTTACTTTTTACCTTGTTTTGTATGGACATGATTATTTTAAAATAACTTTGCTTTCATTTATTAGTAAATGTTTCTTAAAGGGAAAGATATATTTAATTATATATAGTTATTTTCTCTTCTTTATTCTTTTTAAAATAAATCCCTTTCTTCTACCTAATATTTTGATCAGTGTTTCAGTAAGAACTCTAGTGACTTGTCAGGCTAGTAAAGAATTAAGGGTCTTACTGGTTGACAAAAGTAAGCAACACCTATCGTTTCCATTTCAGTGTACCTAATGTAGCATCTCAACCATAATGGGCAGTTTCTAGATAGTCTATTAGATGTTTTTCCAACACGTGATGACCAAACATCTCCGTTAACTGCTTTGTTAGCAGTCTTGAATTTTGATTTTGTATTTGTGCATTTCAGCTTGTTCAGGACATTAGCCCTGCTTCATGTAGGTGCAGTTCCAGTTCCCGAGGTTGGTATGGATCATTGTCTCTGTCCTGAAAAAAGCCAAGTGTAGGAAAAGATAGACACAAACCACTCACGCTGACAGTAAATGACAGATATTGATGCCATGCCTGTAATGTGAGAGGCATTCTTACAGGTGTCAGGAATGTAAAATTGTAAGACATGGACTCTGCTCTCAGGAAGTTTAAAATATCACCTAGTGGCAGGGGGGTGAGAAGAGGGAGATTTTTAAGAAAATAGGAAGGACATTGTAATAGTCATTATAAATTATAAGATCAAATAAAGAGACTTTTGCATCAGGAGGTGATATTTGAATTAAGGTGACATTTGAACACTCAGTTTCCCCAGGCAAATACAAGAAAACAAGTGAGGTCCCCTAGACTGAAGGAACTATGTGAGCAAAGACAACAAGATAAATTTAACAGTGACTACTGTTTATTCAGTGTTTTTTATAAATGAGATGTTTTCCTAAACCTATTTGCATATTGTGCATGTCCATTTATATTTTCACAGCAAGGCAGAAAACTTAGGCTCAGAAAGATAAAATAACTGATGAAGGTAGATTTTGTATCCAAATATGTCTGACTCTGAAGCCTAGACTTAGAGCTACTCTAAACTATGCCACCTCCTAAAAGTGCTGGAAATGACCTAAGGTTTCATAGTGTTCTGTTCTTTTCCGCCTCTGAAATATTTCTCAGATTCCTTCTCTAGTCTATGCTTGCTGCCTTATTTCAGGTCCATCATCTCCATCTTGTCTAATATCCTCCAGTATAATTATCTGCCTCATAACATTTTTTCTTTACAATTAATTGTTTTCTTTGCAGATTTACTACCATAGAATACCTGGAACCTTCATATGTCTCTTTTCTGCCTTGAGTCTTCTGATCTCCTTAAGAATAAACTTCAGATTACCTAGCATAGGAGCAATGACTTTGTCTTGGTCACCACTGTATTTCCAGCACCTAGCATGGTGGTGCATAACAGGAATTCAGTAAATAGTTGCTAAGTTAATCTGCCTCTGCCTGGTTTTCCAACCTCATCTCCCGCCTCTGCCCCTGCAAATAATTTTAGCTCTAGCTACTTGTGAGTACTTTGGCCACCTGATGTGAAGAGTTGACTCATTGAAAAAGACCCTGATGCCGGGAGGGGTTGGGGGCATGAGGAGAAGGGGACGAAAGAGGATGAGATGGCTGGATGGCATCACCAACTCGATGGACATGAGTTTGAGTAAACTCCGGAAGTTTGTGATGGACAGGGAGGCCTGGCGTGCTGCGATTCATGGGGTCGCAAAGAGTCAGACATGACTGAGCAACTGAACTGAACTGATACAGGGTCATCGTTACCATCTTTGTAAATTCCATATATATGCATTAGTATACTGTATTGGTGTTTTTCTTTCGGACTTACTTCACTCTGTATGATAGGCTCCAGTTTCATCCCCCTCATGAGAACTGATTCAAATGCATTCTTTTTAATGGCTGAGTAATATTCCATTGCATATATGTACCACAGTTTTCTTATCCATTCGTCTGCTGATGGGCATCTAGGTTGCTTCCATGTCCTGGCTATTGTAAACAGTGCTGCGATGAACATTGAGCTACATGTGTCTCTTTCAATTCTGGTTTCCTCAGTGTGTATGCCCAGCAGTGGGATCACTGGGTCATATGGCGGTTCTATTTCCAGTTTTTTAAGAAATCTCCACACTGTTCTCCATAGTGGCTGTACTAGTTTGCATTCCCACCAACAGTGTAAGAGGGTTCCCTTTTCTCTACACTCTCTCCAGGATTTATTGTTGTAGACTTTTGGATAGCAGCCATTCTGACCATCATGAGATAGTACCTCATTGTGGTTTTGATTTGCATTTTTCTGATAATGAGTGATGTTGAGCATCTATCTTTTCATGTGTTTGTTAGCCATCTGTATGGCTTCTTTGGAGAAATGTCTGTTTAGTTCTTTGGCCCATTTTTTGATTGGGTCATTTATTTTTCTGGAATTGAGCTGTAGGAGCTGTTTGTATATTTTTGAGAGAAATTCTTTGTCAGTTGCTTCATATGCTACTATCTTCTCCCATTCTGAAGGCTGTCTTTTCACCTTATAGTTTCCTTTGTTGTGCAAAAGCTTTTAAGTTTAATTAGGTCCCATTTGTTTATTTTTGCTTTTATTTCCATTACTCTGGGAGGCGGGTCATAGAGGATTCTGCTGTGATTTATGTCAGGAAGTGTTTTGCCTGTTTTCCTCTAGGAGTTTTATAGTTTCTGGTCTTATGTTTAGATCTTTAATCCATTTTGAGTTTATTTTTGTGTATGGTGTTAGAAAGTGTTCTAGTTTCATTCTTTTACAAGTGGTTGACCAGTTTTCCCAACACCACTTGTTAAACAGATTGTGTTTTCTCCATTGTATAAACTTAGCAGTTTAAAACAATGACCCTTTATTAACTCAGCACAGTTTCTAGTGTTCAGGTAGCTGAGAACAGCTTAGCTAAGTGGTTCTGGCTCGGGTTTTCTCATGAGGTTGCAGTCATGGTGGGTAAAGACTGTAGTTGTCTGAGGATTAGACTGTGGCCAGCAGATCTGGCTCCAGACTGACTCACGGCATCGCCAGGAGGCCTCCGTTCCTCACAGGATGGACCTCTCTGGAGGGCTGCTTCCTTATCCTAGAAGGGATGATGGAGAGACACACATGCACAGAAGCAGTCGTATCTTTTATAGTCTGATCTCAGACAGTATAAACCAGCACACTCACCATATTCTATTGATTATATATACCAACCCCGGTACAACCGTGGTGTGAGTCCTTGAGACAGGGGTCATTGAAGGCTATCTTGCAGATATCTACCCTAAGATGAGTATGGGTTACACTTAGGAAGAATACAGAGATGGAGTAATTTTCTGAGGTTAGAGAAAGCAGTCTGTTCATTGAGATCTAAGTAGAAGTAATGGTTATACAAATAAAGAGGTGTTAAATATGTTCCAAGCACAGGAACCAGTAAGTGTATTCTTGGACTCTGAAATAAGAGCGAGCCTTATTCATTCTTAGAAGGCAAGAATTTTAGGATAACTGGAATGTGGAGTGTGGAAAGGTCTGAGACTTAAGGCTGGAAATGGCACCGGGGTCCCAATTGTGTGTTTCATCTGTCAGGTAATAAATTAGTTTGGACTCTACCCTGGAGGCAGAGCAAAGACTCTTATGGATTTAAGCAGCGATGTGACTTAACTAGTTCTACATTTTAGAAAGTTAACTGGCTGCCTAGAATTGGAGGGAGGGAAAGCAAGTAGAAGTCTGATGTAGTCATTTATGTAAGATAAGATTGGTAATGTAGATGAAGAGAGCTAGACAATTTTTAAATGAATGCAAAATCAGTATAACTTGATGATTGTGTTTAAACGTAGGGAGATAAGAAAAGGAAGCTCAAGTTTCTGACTTGGCATTTGAGTGATTGCACCATTCTATAAGAAAGAGGACACTGGGGGAGGAGGTGACATGAAGTACACACCCCTGGTTCACAGTTGAATATAGGCCTGGTCTCAGGAGAAGAGTTTGTGCTAAAACTCTTTCTTTGGTAATTGAAGCCTTAGGTGAGGATGACCTTGTCCAAAGGTGAGTACAGAGACAAGATTGGGACCCTGTGAATCATTTTTTAAAGATTGTCAAAGATAGAAGAATTTATGAAGCAATTCAAGCAGCAGTAGCTAAAGAGTGGGGGAAAAGCAGGAGAATGTGGTATCATTTATCACTGTTTAAATATTTATGAAATGTTTCTTTTCTGTTGGCCTATGAACTCCTTAAGGAGAAAGTGTGTATCTTTTATTTTGCATGCGCTGTGGCATTTAAAACAGGACCTGACACATAATAGGTGCTTTACTTAACATTAACTATTGAGTGAATAAATCAGAGGGCACATGGGAAAATGGATTATGTCCTGGTCCTAAGAAAGCTAGTATTTGCAAAGCCAAGGGGTATATTCTTTAAGCAGTGGCCTTTAAGCAAGGGGACCACACAATCAGATTGATGTTTTTGTAACTTGCCTCTGGTAGCAATGTAGAAAATGAATTAGTTAAGGAACGCAGAGTAGAAAGACCAGTTTGGTTACTTCAGTAGGCTAGACTAAATTTAGGCAGTGGCCTAAGTAGGGGTTGGAGATGGTAAGAGAGAGAATGGTTGGCACTGTGATACACAGGCAAAGAGAGAAGGCAAGAATCACTCTAGGAAATCTGATTTACCACCTAGTGGATGATTACGCTGTTGTCAGGTAGGAAAGGTGAGAAAAGGAGCAGGTTTAGGGAAGAATAGCTCAACTTGATTTAATGTATATTTTGTTTGAAATGTTCATGTGACATCCAGGTAAATATTTCCACGGGGTAACTCAGGTCTTGGATTCATAAGATTGAAGAAACAGACGTAAGAGGTAGGCCACAACAGTAGTTCAGGCAAGCAAAAGGAATCCAAGAGCATTGGGAGGCAATAATTCTCCCTCTGAGGGTGAAGGAGCTTTTCAAAGAGGTCTCGACGTTTTATCTGATCTGCAAGAAGCCGGGTGTAAAGCAAAGGTTTCTCTGGTAGAGCAAACTTAAATAGTATGCAGAACACTAAAACCTCTACCAAATCAATTTGTTCATAAGTTTATCTTCTTTTCAATATTTCAAGTATAAAAGCTTTGAAATGTTTCTGTGGATGAAAAGACAAAATGTAGATTTTAATTTTTCTCTTTTCTCTCTGTTTCAAAGGAAAGAAGATTCTATATGACATACTTGCCTTTGCCAAGGAAAGTGTCAATTCTCATGTTACCACACTCGGACCTCAGAATTTTCCTGCCAATGAAAAAGAACCATGGCTAGTTGATTTTTTTGCCCCTGTAAGTTATGTTTATCTCACATATTTCAACATTTTCAGGTTTTCTCTTGTTATGACAAAAAAAAAAAAACATTTTCTAGGTAACCTTGAACAATGAATGCTAGAGTCATGTTCCTCAATTTGGCTACTGTCACATACTGTTTTTAAGAAAGGCTGACATACTTGCCCTTCCAAGGACTAAGTATATAAATGCTTAAGATTTGTAACTAATAAATATTGTTTATCTTAGCATATTGCTTGTTGCAAAAAAATATGTGGTTTTTTGGTTTCATTTGGCTTGGTGCTTATGAATATTTTTCCTTCAATAGTGGTGTCCACCATGTCGAGCTTTATTGCCAGAGCTGCGAAAAGCATCAAAGCATCTTTATGGTCAGCTTAAGTTCGGTACATTAGATTGTACAGTTCACGAAGGACTCTGTAACATGGTAAGGCAAAGAATAAATACTTATTCTAATGTTTTTGCAAAATGTTTCAGCAGCCTCACGTTAAAGCAATAAAATAACTTTCAAAAGTACATGTAACATTTAGAGTAGTAACATATTACTTAAATAATTTCATCAAAATGATATAAAATTATGAAAATTATGATTGGATTAAACAAATATTTAAGGTGTTTTTTTTTTAATTTAATATTATCTTTTTGCAACCTATGGGCGTGTCTGGTCGCTCAGATGGTAAAGAATCTGCCTGCAATGCAGGAGACCCAGGTTTGAACCCTGGGTTGGGAAGATGCCCTAAAGAAGGGAGTGGCTACTCACAGTAATTATTATTATGAAGGTATACAGATAGCCAACAGGCCTATGGAAGGTTGTTCAACTCTGGTTATTAGAGAAGTATAAATTAAGACAGCATCACCTCACGTTAGTTAGAATGGCTGTCACCCAAAGTCTACAAACAGTAAACCCTGAAGAGAGTGTAGGGGAAACGAGCCCTCCCACACTGCTGATGGGAGCATAAGTCGGTACAGCCACTGTGGAGAATGTGAAGGTTCCTTAAAATACTAAAAATAGGACTACCATATGATCCAATCCTAGCCCTGGGTACATATCCCAAAAAAACAAACTCTAATTTGAAGAGATACAGTTCATAGAAGCAGTATTTACAATAGCCATGGTATGGCAACAACCGAAGTGGCATCAGCAGACAGTTGGCTTAAGATGGGGGGGGTTGTGGCCTGAGAATATTATACTTAGTGAAGTAAGTCAGACAGAGAAAGCCAAATATTATATGATATCACTTATATGTGGAATCTTAAAAATTATACAAATCAGCCTGTATACAGAACAGAGACATGCTCACAAACAGAGAAAACAAACCTTGTTACCGAAGCCTGAGGTGACAGGTTACAATCACTAGATTAACAGATACACACTCCTACATATAAAATAAGCTACAGAGGCAGTGTACTGCACAGGGAGTTATATTCAGTATGTGGTGATAACCTATTGTGGAAAATAATCTGAAATATACATATATAAAACACTAAATCATTTTGCTGTAGAACTGAAGTCTACCCAATGTTGTAAATCAACTATACTTCAATTTTTTTTAGAAAGCAATGTGTTTTAAAAGCAGAGTAGAAGTAAACATAGGGTGAAATCTTTATGCATCTCTCTGAGGAATAATTTCACTCCACAGAGACGCTCATGCCTGCCATTGCACACATAGACTGAGGATAAAAGTTAGGAGTGATTTTAGCTTCATTGAATGTTAAAACTGTTGCCAAAAAAAGAGACATTATAAAGTCAAAACAAACAACAGACTGAGGAAATACTTGCAGCACATACAACTGACACAGCCTTACCATCCAGAATGTTTAAAGACTACAGATCAGTTTTTTAAAATAGAAAAGAATGAGGAGGTTTAGACATTTTATAAAGGCATAAATTAGATAAATGTGAAAAATGTTCAACTTTACTGGTCCTCAATAAAGTACAAGTTATTGCAGTGGTCATATACCCTTCCTCCATCAAATTAAAAAAACTTAGCTGACCAGTAGTAACAAATACATGAATAAATTATCCAGTCACATGTAGAATAATCATAGAGGATTTAAAACTAGATCTGTCTTTACCAGCATGTTTGGTAAATCTCAAGACTATAATGAAAAAAGCAGGTTGTAGAATAGTATACAGAGTGTGATAAAATTATAGAAAGTTTGTAAGTGCTCAGACATTACAGTATACTGTTTAGGAATACACATGCATGTAGCAAAAGTGTAAAACATCAGTGGATTGGATACATGCTTATTTCAGGATATTGGTTACTCCTAGCGTCAGGAAGGGAAGGAAATGGGATCAAAAAGGAGAACCGCCAAAGATCTGCCAGAACGGCACAAAAGTTAATCATCCCTAAATGTAGTGGTAGAGAGATATATTTGTTAAATGAGTCTGTCTCTATGTCATGTTTGAAATTTCATTAAAACAAGTTTAAAAAATGAAATAAATAAGGCCTTTGGTTTTAAATGTCTTATATGGGACTTTGAAAAGTTGCTAAGCAAAAATGAAGAATTGTATTCAACAGTAATTTGAATTCCTATAGTTTTTCTACTTTTCATCTCAGTTTTCAATTTTCTATAGATAATTAAGCAGAATGTAGATATTTAAAGCTGTTGTAACAATTCACCTGGAATAGAGGCCAGATTCCTTACTAACTAATTGGTTAATCTCCACCAAGTCACTGCGCCTCTCAGTACCTCAGTTTCCTCATCTGTAAAGTTGATTCAGTGATTTTAGCTTCCAAATAGAATTGTTTTGAGGAACAGATAAGAAACTACATTTCAGTGCTAAAAAACATGCTCAACACATAGTAAGGACTTGTCAAATGTTAGATAAATGGTTTTTTCCATCTAATAGGTTATTTGTGCTCATTTTCAAAAGTTTGATAAATATTTCCATCGCTTTTTCTGAAGTTATTTTTGAAGTTCATTTTGCTAATGAGTGCTTGTCAGCTTTGAGGATGCATAGTTCAGCTACAGCAAATTTAGAGATGGGGATCTGTTTATAACCTTTAAAAAAAAACTTGAGAAATGCTTCCTGAATTAGTGCTCATGTTAATTCTGAGGAAGGAAATTACAGTGGGTTTATATATATACACACACACACACCATAAAAGCTGTTTTGAGCAAACAGTAAAAAGTGACCTCATTTTTAGCACATGATTCATAACTCTCTAATCTAAAAATGGCTGTGTGCACGTGGATTATTAATTTATTTCCTTATTCTTGCTGTTTTTATGTCCTTGATTTTCTTCTACTTCTGAACAAATTTGGAGTGTTTATTATGGTTTAATAAAAATAATCGAACACTCAAGCCAGAGCTCAGTCTGCTCTTAGCCCATCCACCCTGGCTCAGGAGAGCAGGAGAGGACTGCACTTAGAAATGCCCATCTCCCTCCTCAGTGTTCGGTGCCTACGGATTTTGTGGCTAATGGAGTAACTATACGTAAGAATCAGCTGCTCAGGATACAGCAGTAGATCTCTATTTCCTTTGTTAAATGTGGCTAGGTTAAAATTTTTCAGTCATCAGTTAAGCATTGAGTCTTTTAAAATGTTGTTACTTAACGCACGCTGGTTATAAATTTGAAGCAAATAGGTAAAATATATAGAATCTTATGTTTAATTTGTATTTTCATTCCTAACAGTATAACATTCAGGCTTATCCAACAACAGTGGTATTCAACCAGTCCAACATTCATGAATATGAAGGACATCACTCTGCTGAACAGATCTTGGAGTTCGTAGAGGTATTTTAAGTTATAGCCTATATAGCTATAAATCCTTCCATGTATGTATATACTTCATATGAGCATTTAATAATGTTTAATAATAGGATTTGTCAAATTTTCTACTCTTCTATTGATAGACTTATTCTCAGAGTTCATACTAGTGTGTTTTGTTTGTTACCTAGTATGGTGCCTTGTGCATGTATTATTGAATACATGAAATTAAAACTTGTACATAAAGCCTTGTCACCCTTCTCCCCGCCCCTGTTTTCTCTCATCTACCACAGATTATTTCTTTCTGGTCCCATATAGATTAGATAGCAGTGAATCCCATTCTTGGATAGTTCCAAGAAATATGTGGCTGAGGACAGGCTTACCTCAGCCACCAGTGGAATGCTTCTTCACGGCTCAACAGCTTAGGCCAAGCCTGCTGTGTTATTAGCCCAGAAGTGCTCTACTAGAGCATCCCCCCCCCTTTTTTTAATCACTACTAATTTTAATTGACTAGAATAGCTAACAGGGGACTTCTAACAGAAAAATGAACAATTATAGCTTATTATCTATGCAGTTGCCCTCCCAGCCTCTGTCCTACTCTTCTCTTCCACCTCCTGAAAAATAATAGCTTTTTGTTTTGTGTTGTCTGTCTCCCCAGGGAAGCTAACATGATTAGTATTACCCAATCATGATAGACTGATGCTCGTTATTAACAAAACAGCATTTGGAGCAAGTGATCTGAGGTTGTGCAATATCTCAAGTGGGAATGTCAGGAAAATAGGGTAGTAGGCTTTCCATTAATAATTAAAGGGTCCTTTCCAAACCAGTTATTGGTTCCAAAAAGAACTATGTGGCCTACGTAGACATCTGGGCAGCTCTTGAAACTCTTGCCTCATCTACCCACAACCTTACTTCAAGTTGCCACTTTTCTCTGCCTAAGATGGTTTTAGTGATACATAGAAATAAGAAAATATTCCTTGATTTAATAAGACTGATGAGCAGAATCCAAACTTAAAAAGTAAATTAAGGATCATTTCTTCAAATAATCCACTATAGATTCTCTTTAAATATCCTAATGTATCCTTTGATTATTCAAAAGCAGAAAGTTTTCTAAGTGACATATACCAGCAGTTTGCCCAAGAATATGTGAACTACTCTTTTTTATATCTGTTGCAATAAATGCTGTATTCTCTTCAGGATCTTATGAATCCTTCTGTGATCTCTTTGACACCTACCACTTTCAACGAACTGGTTAAACAAAGAAAGCATGATGAAGTCTGGATGGTTGATTTCTATTCTCCATGGTGTCATCCATGTCAAGTCTTAATGCCAGAATGGAAAAGAATGGCCCGGGTATAGTAAAATAATTTATTGTCCGAGTATAGTAAAATAATATATTTTAAGTCTTAACATTTACTAAGAATGTTCATTTAGCAATCACTTTGAAACTGAGATGAATGAACCTACCTCTAGATTGTCACTTAATAAGAGTTTTGATCATTTTTTATTTACCAATTAGATTTCAACTCTACTTCTGTCTGGTATTTAGTAGTATATAATAATGACCCTTTTTTCTGTGTCACTTGGTTTGACCAAATTTCTGCCAACATCAACACAAAGATCCTCTTTATTTTCTATTAATATTTTTTCTGCTTCTTCATTTTTAGAGCTTAGAAATACAGTTTCTTCACACTATAGTAAGATGATAAAGAAAAAATGGCCTTGATCAATGAAATAGTTAGATTTTTAAATTTCCTACAGAGCATTATAAATCATGAAAGCTTGGAAACAAATTATTTAAATACCAGAATGGAAAATGCAATTACTATTTTATTTATTTATAAGGTGAAAAATGAATAAACCTAAGAGTTAAAATTCTTTCTAGTATTTAAATTCATAATAATATAATTTTCTACTCTTTTCAATGAAATTTTTAAATTCGGGCATGACTCAGTATGCTAACTGCAATCCACATTTCCATTTTAAAAAGTAATTTTGGCATACTGTTGGAAAGAAATTCATTCTTGGTTTCTGACACGTCAAATTTTAGATATACATAATTTTTCCCATGTAATAGATGAATGAAGTCAATTATTTAATCTATGATAATTTTAGTAAGGTTTTGACTACAAAATTAGATTTCTAATTCATTATTGTAAATGTTCTATTATGTTTTAGGCCCTTACCCATTTGTATTTGTCAAAAATCACTGGTAAATAATATAATAACCATCTCACGGTAACTACTTCTCAATTGTACACATAAAAAATTGTTATGGAGGTAATTTAATTCTAATTACTTTCATCTATTCATCTTTTTTTTTTTATAGACATTAATTGGACTGATCAATGTGGGCAGTATAGACTGCCAACAATATCATTCTTTTTGTGCCCAAGAAAATGTTCGGAGATACCCTGAGATAAGATTTTTTCCCGAAAAATCAAATAAAGCTTATGAATATCAGTAAGTATTCTCTAAAATTTGAAGGCATTTATATAATCATTTATTTTTATACAGTTAAAATTTTAAAGTTATCCTAACTAAATAAAAGTTAAACCACCCAGTATTTTGGGAGAGCCCACACCTTACTTAAAATAGTGTGGGAATGAGGAATTTACAAAGCGAAAAGTGAACTGAATGGACCCACTGATTGTGAAGCTGACGATCTAGTAAAGAGGAAAATGAGAGGAAGAACATTTATTAAGCCCCTCTTGGGTTTCAGGTACTGTACTAGAGACTTTTTGCTCATATTACTTCCACTTGTCTTCACACATACTCTTGAGAAGTAAGAATTATTACCCTTCCTACTATTAGAGATAACTTTCCCGAGTCACACAGCTGCTACGGTTTCAGGCTGGGGTTTGAACTCAGATCGGTGTCACCCGTGCTGTTTTGACAACACCATATGACATTTCAAGCAGGAAACTCAAAACAAGACAGAATATAATAAAGATTGTTAAAAAGTAAAAATGAACCACGGATTTCAGAGAAAAGGATCTTAGCCATGCGAGGAAATCATGAGGCTGCATTTATGCTGTGCCTTTTTTTTTCCCCCCACTTGCCTGGAACTCAAGAGTCCAGTGCTTTTTTTATTTTAATTATTTTAATATAAATTTATTTATTTTAATTGGAGGCTAATTACTTTACAATACTGTACTGGTTTTGCCATACATTGACATGAATCCACCACGGGTGTACATGTGTTCCCCATCCTGAACCCCCTTCCTACCTCCCTCCCCATCCCATCCCTCTGGGTCATCCCAGTGCACCAGCCCCGAGCACCCTGTCTCATGCATCGAACCTGGACTTATGATGCATTTCACATATGATAATATACATGTTTCAATGCCATTCTCCCAAACCATCCCACCCTCGCCCTCTCCCAAAGTCCAAAAGACTGTTGTATATATCTGTGTCTCTTTTGCTGTCTCGTACACAGGATTATCATTATCATCTTTCTAAATTCCATATATATGTGTTAGTATACTGTACTGGTGTTTTCTTTCCAGCTTATTTCACTCTGTATAATAGGCTCCAGTTTCATCTACCTCATTAGAACTGATTCAAATATATTTCTTTTTAATGGCTGAGTAATATTCCATTATGTATATGTACCACAGCTTTCTTATCCATTCGTCTGCTGATGGGCATCTAGGTTGCTTCCATGTCCTGGCTATTTTTATAATAGCTGCTGTTTTACAGTGCTGCGATGAACATTGGGGTACACGTGTCTCTTTCAGATCTGGTTTCCTTGGTGTGTATACCCAGCAGTGGGATCACTGGGACATATGGCAGTTCTATTTCCAGTTTTTTGAGGAATCTCCACACTGTTCTCCATAGCGGCTGTACTAGTTTGCATTCCCACCAACAGTGTAAGGGGTTCCCTTTTCTCCACACCCTCTCCAGCATTTATTGCTTGTAGACTTTTGGATAGCAGCCATTCTGACTGGTATGAAATGGTACTTCACTGTGTTTTGATTTGCATTTCTCTGATAATGAGTGATGTTGAGGATTTTTTCATGTGTTTGTTAGCCATCTGTATGTCTTCTTTGGAGAAATGAATGGTATTTTTCACAGAACTAGAACAAATAATTTCACAATTTGTATGGAAATACAAAAAACCTCGAATAGCCAAGACAGTCTTGAGAAAGAAGAATGGAACTGGAGGAATCAACCTGCCTGACTTCAGGCTCTACTACAAAGCCACAGTCATCAAGACAGTATGGTACTGGCACAAAGACAGAAATATAGATCAATGGAACAAAATAGAAAGCCCAGAGATAAATCCACACACCTGTGGACACCTTATCTTCGACAAAGGAGGCAAGAATATACAATGGAGAAAAGATAAATCTCTTTAACAAGTGGTGCTGGGAAAACTGGTCAACCATTTGTAAGCGAATGAAACTAGAACACTTGGCTAACACCATACACAAAATAAACTCAACATGGATTAAAGATATAAATGTAAGACCAGAAACCATAAAACTCCTAGAGGAAAAAATAGGCAAGACACTCTCCGACATAAATCACAGCAAGATCCTCTATGACCCACCTCCCAGAATATTGGAAATACAAGCATAAATAAATAAATGGAACCCAATTAAAAGTAAAAGCTTTTGCACAACAAGGGAAACTATAAGCAAGGTGAAAAGACAGCCTTCAGAATGGGAGAAAATAATAGCAAATGAAGCAACTGACAAAGAATTAATCTCAAAAATATACAAGCAACTCCTGCAGCTCAATTCAAGAAAAATAAATGACCCAATCAAAAAATGGGCGAAAGAACTACGCTGTGCCTTTTGACATGTGTCTTAAAAAGTGGATAGGAATTTGACGGACTGTAATAACCGGGGTAAAGGTTTCAGAGCTAAAGCTTTAGAGATTTTGAGTTTTGCCATTACCATAGGTCTGTGGGAGATGTCCAGCAGACATCTAAACATTTAGGTCTGTTTTGAGCACACACGCACACACACACCAAAAAAAACGTCGAGACTAGAGAAAAATATGCTTGGAAAGCCATGTAAGCTTAGTATTTGCAGCTAAGGTATATCTGAGAAGAGATGCTAAATGAAGTCAGCCAACTAAACTTTTAAATTGCTACAAAGGGATTGTTTTCTGAACATACGCAATAATAGAAATAACTGTTTACAACTTACATATTTTTCTTCTTTCAGTAGTTACAATGGTTGGAATAGAGATGCTTATTCCCTAAGAATCTGGGGTCTAGGGTGAGTAATTAAATTATGTATAATTGTATAAATTATATTCGATGCTCTTTACCTTCCTCTTATGTCTGTGGCTAAATTTACTCAGTTAAGGTTCTAGCACTTTAAAGTAACATGGTTCTAGCACTTTAAAGTAACACTTACTTAAGAAAGTTCTAGCACTTAGGAAAGAATATAATTTACCAAGATAAGGTTATGCTTTATTATACTGTCATTCTTTGAAGTCTTTTTTTAACTTATAAAGATTTGCAATAGTCTATTTTAGATGTTTGCTTTGACTTTGTATAATAAATAATTTTGATCCCTTGTCACAGATTTTTACCTCAAGCATCTATAGATCTAACACCTCAGACTTTCAATGAAAAGGTTTTACAAGGGAAAAACCACTGGGTGGTTGATTTCTACGCTCCTTGGTGTGGACCTTGCCAGAACTTTGCTCCAGAGTTTGAGCTCTTGGCTAGGGTAAGTTATATATCTACTTAAATAAGTTGTAGTCACACTCATGTTTTAATAATTAGATAAGATTTTGTAAATAATAATTTTTTCCTTAAAAGTTTCCTCTGAATTTAAAAACTCTTTTCCATTTCTGTGATTTTAATCTTTGCAGTAGATTCTTTGCTTCTTCACTGAAGTTTGTAACTACCTACCTATCTTGATTGAAAACATCTACTTAAGCAAAATAGCCAGAAACCTCACTTCTTCCCTTGTTCTTTATTTTCTTCATGGTGCCCTCTAGGCAGTCACTAGGTCCTGTCAGTTCAGTTACTTCTTTGAAACCTGTCATCCCTCTGCTGGCTTTTTGGTCACACCTTCATCATCTAGACTTAGTTATATGAGCCTCTTAACTAGTCTCATACTGCCAGCCTTCCTTCTTCAGTTCCACCCTAATGATCTTTCTGAAATATTGCCTTCTCTAGCTTTCTGTTAACCACATCTCTTGACATGCATTCAATGACATTTCTTGATGACAACTCTCTAATCTGACCCCTTTAGCTTTTTCCCTCTCCCTGACCTTATACTCCAGGCACAGCAAAGTGCTCCAGGTTCTCTGAACAGGTGCTTTTATGTCCATGCTGTTCCCTCTCTAAAATGCGTTTTCCTTACTTTGGTCATCTGGATTGTTTTTTGTCCCTAATATACAAAACCCAGCTCCACTGGGATTTCTGTATTCTCTCCCCTTCCCAGTACTCCTTCAGTATGCTTATACATTGTATGTTAACTATACCTGCCTCCTCTATAAACTATGAGCTTCTTGAAAGCAGTATATGTCTTACCTATCTGTATATCCCATGTCTTAACTCGATAAACACTTAGAAAATTAAAGTAAATGCAGTTTATTTTGGTATTTCTGTTATAAATCCTATTAATGGCCTCATCCAAATTGTTAGCTTCCCCACCTCTGTACTCAAGGAATTTTGCCTTTGGCTACAAAACGTTCATTAGAATGCTAAAGCCAGCACTAGTTCCACCAGTCTGAAACAAAAGCTGAGCATCCCAGGCAGGAGCAATTTTTTTTTTAAGCAAAGAGATTTCAAAACTCCTATGGAGCTATAAGAGATTGTTTCAGTTATTGACTGGTTTTGAAATAAAAGGTTATTCATTTTTTTTCCTACTTATCATATCTTTTTTGCTCTTGTGCTTCTTTTTCTCCAATAATCCTAACAAAAATGTTTTATTACCTTATCTCTTAAGTACTGAGAAACTTAATTTAGCATATTTTGTAATGCAACTGTATCTTGAATATAGCAGAAAAGTATTTAAAGGGTCATTCAGCAAATCCTGAGCACCAAGTAAAAAGCACTATGCCAAACATTAGGGCTGAAAAAATGGAAAGATGAATATTGCATGTTTTTCAAATAAGATTTTAATCTAGTGGGAAGGTAAAATGCAAATACATATAAATCAGTAGGATCTTTACTACGGTGAAATCAGAGCAGAGCGAGAGCATGGGCAGCAGGTCAGAGTCATACGAGGAGGCCGGAGGCTCCACGGGAAAGGGGTGTTGGCAGTGGGGATTGCAATATGGCCAGGACTGTGGCACTTGGAAGGGTTGACTCAGGAGTCCTCTAAACACAGGAGACAGAATTTGCAGAGATGCAGGACACACAGACCGCGGAGCAAGTTCAGGCTCTTCATCTGTTGGTCCAGTGTCACCAGAGGATAAAGACAAAAGGGGCGTGGCCAAAACAGGCTCTTAGCCAGGCAAGGAGGAGGTGGTGTGGTCAGCTTGCCTGCGCTCTTCACACTGGACGCTTTGCCTCACCGCTCTCACACTGTTCAGAATGTATTCTGTAGAAGATGGGAGGAGAACTGTTGGATCGGTCAGGATCCTTTTCTGTTGTAGAAGGATCACATTGAATGGACTGAACCTGGGCCGTCAAGACAAGAGAAAGATCAGAGCACCAAAAGCAGTGTAGTGTCCTTCTGTAACTGAGAGTACAAGCCAGCTCGCATTCTCTGACCTTCACTATGAGAGAGGGAGTGTGTGCACGTGTACGTGTGTATGCATGTGTGCGTGCTTCTGCATGCAACCTTGCTGCTGCCCTGGCACAAGTTAGTTTGCCTTTAGTACCCCAACCTTGGGGACAGAATTAGAGGTAGCAGGGATGTTTTAATTGTCCTGAAGTGAGAGGTGATAACCCGAACCAGGATTATGGCAGTGGTCATACAAAGAATTAAACAAATATGAGAGATAAGAATGACTAGGATTTGAAGTAGTAGTGAAGTCGCTCAGTCGTGTCTGACTCTCTGCGACCCCATGCTCCTCCGTCCATGGGATTTTCCAGGCAAGATACTGGAGTGGGTTGCCATCTCCTTCTCCAGGGGATCTTCCCGACCCTGGGATCGATCCCAGGTCTCCCGCATTGCGGGCAGACACTTTACCATCTAAGCCACCAGGGAAGCCCAGTAGTGCCTTTGGCCATACTAAAGAGGAGCCCCTCCAGAGTCCCTCAGTTGCACCCACTGCCGCCCACCTGTTCGCGGGGGGTTCAAGGAAACAAGAAACGAGAGATTGTAAAGGAATTAGACTGGGATTTAGTTCATGTTTATTTGTGATAAGTGTAGGGAAAAAGGAGTCTAGCATGGCCCTAGTCTCTGGCCTGAATTAAGTGAATAGTAGGACAGAAGGGATAGTAGGTTAAGGGGGAAAGGAGTCATTTTAGAAATGGTATCTTTAAGGTGCTTTAGGTAATACAGGCCAGTACATAGTTGACTGAAATCAAGGGAACGCTGGGGTTCAGCAGCATATAGGTATATAAAATCTCCCTGGGAGATTGTTCACAGTGAAAAAAATTGCTGATGAAATACAGAACTGTGGTTGAACATTTCGAGGGGCAGGTGTAGGAGGAGTTCCCCTTGCTAGAAATGAAGAACAATAACCAGAGGAATAGGGGTAGCCAAGAGAATAGTGATAAGTGCCAAGAAAGAAGAGAGGAAAGAAAGGAGTGGTCAGTCGTGTCAGACACTGATTAAGAAGACTGAAAAGTGTTCATTGAGTTTGGTCAAATAGAAGTCACTGATGAACTTACAGCAGTTTCAACGGAGGGAACCGTCTGAGAACAGAAGCTAGCTAAAATGTGTTGATCATAAGTAGATGATGGGGACGTGGTCAAGGAATAAACTCAGAAAAAAGAAGCAGGGTGGCAGAGGAATTGGCGCCATTAAGGAGGGGACTCTCTTTGATCACATGTATATGTGCTAAGCGACACCGACAGAATATGCTAACAAGCGGGTAAGAACCCTGGCGGGGGGGACCAGAGCATGTTGGCAGAGCCAGCCATGGGAGGAAGTTGCCCGCCTCAGCAGACGAGAGCAGAGCTTGGAGGCACAGAAAGACAGAGTCTCAAGACGCTTGTGGTGTGACAGATGTGTTGTGGGCGACAGGAAGAAGGTGAGGCCCTTCAGGGTGAAGCTTCTCAGTTTCCTTGATAAGGCAAAGGAGAGTTTATTTGCTCTTGGAGGGGCCGTGCTAGGTAAATAAGAGTTCAGAGCTAGTAAGAATTTGGAAGCAATCTTGCTTAAATGGAAAAGATTAAAACTATGTTGTTTTGGTTTGGGGTTTTTTAAAGTAACAGATCCTTGCATTTATAAATATCTAGAATGTTTAGTATCATATTGCTCTGTGGTTGCCAGAGTAGTAGATACCAAAGAGAATAATAGCAAAGCATATTTTTCTTTTTCAGACGATTAAAGGAAAAGTGAAAGCTGGAAAAGTAGACTGTCAGGCTTATGCTCAAACCTGCCAGAAAGCTGGTATCAGAGCCTATCCGACTGTGAGATTGTATCCTTATGAAAGGACAAAGGTATGTACACACCTTCCTCTGTGTCACTTTTCTTTAGCAGGTAACACTTTTTTTCTAGTTTCTTTCGTTTTGTCATTTCCCACTGCGTTGCATGCCACTGAAACAGCTGCTTTTCACATGTACACGAAGTGATTTTAAAATTTTTTTCTGCCTCGCAGTTGATACGATGGTCTCCAGTGCCTTAAAATTTCTGTACTCATGAATTAGGGAACTACTAAATAGACATACCAAAACACTAATAGTGGTTTTGTGTGGGTGGTAGAATTTAAGATAATTGTTCTCTGTGAAGTTTTGTGTTTCCTATTTTTATAGAATTAACATATATTACCTTTATGATGAGTTCTTCCAGGAAAGAAAAAGAATACTGTCATAATACTTCTGAAATAGCCTTAGTACCTGAAAATTTATCTTGAAGAATATGCATTAATATGGTTTAGACTATTAAAGTTAGGATTTTGTGATTCATTCATAATTTCTTTTTTGGGCCACTGATACTGTGCTTTTTTTAACTTTCTTTTTAAAGACAGTTTAACCCATTAGACCTGGGTCTTTATGGTCATCAATAAAAAAGTGTATACCTTTCAGCCAGTATAACTGCTCACTGAAAGGATTCATGACCTTTGCTATCTTGCCAAGTAAAAGACTAAGACATTTTTGACAATAAAGCTGTGATGGACAGGTATTTGTTATGCATACATATTTTCAGGTAAAACATTGAGATAAATAATTTCAAATGTTTTAATACGTACCTTTTGAGAAAGTATATCAGATTAAGATCTTGTGTAATTTATTTGTGATTATAATACATTTTGAAATAGAGCTAAAGAAACTAGATGAATTTCAGAAGTCTAGACTAGTCAAACAACCCACATTTTTCAGTGAAGGATTCTGATACGTGAGGAAGGTATCTCTGTCTTAACAACATTCCGGGGGTAAGCAGAAGAGTAAAGGAACTTTATACCAGAGCCTGAATCTTCATTCCTCTGGCTTCCGAGTTCTCAGACACCTTGAGAATTAGATACATAAATAGGCGTCTTATTCAGGTAGAATGATGTTAGGGAAATATCAGTATAATAAGCAGTCACAGAGTTAACCGGCCATACAGAGAACTGTTTGAAAACATGATGTCACCCTATGTCCAAATGGAAAGGCAGGGGTAGAAACCAGAAGTTCAGCAGACAGGACCGTAGCAGAGTAAAGATCAGAGTGTGCAGTTCCACCCGGAAAGGAGACTGGCGACTCCAGACCCTAAACAGACAGACCTGGATGCACTGACCTGACCTTCCCCCTGCTTTTCAGCCACCTTCCTGCCATAGGCGGATGAGAACCAGGAGATACATGGCTTTGCATTGTTGTAATTGGTCCAGGTTTTGTCTGTGCCAACCAGTGACTTTAGATTAGAATGTTTTGAGTCCTCTGGGACATCTTTTCTTATACAGTTTAGATGTTTTGAGGCATTTGGAGTTAGCAGTGCATTTTAACCAATTAATTAATTTACATGTTTCCATAACAGTATTGTTAATATTTATTTCTGGTAAGTTATTGTTTGATTGCTTTTGCCAGCAGCATTTCCTTGAAGAAGCTTAAGTTTTAAGCATTTAATCAAGTTTCTCAGGTGGAAATGTCATGTTTTGATTAGATACTTAAAAGATTATAAGAAGAGTATTTTCAATTTTAGAGAAATACTTGGGGAGAGCAAATAGATTCCAGAGATGCAAAAGAGATTGCTACCTTAATATATGAAAAATTGGAAAAGCTCCAAAATCATGAAAAGAGAGATAAGGTAAGGACTCAATCTAAAACTGACTTTGACAAACATTATTTAAATGTATTCTTACTGTACAGTATATGTATCAAACAGTAAAACAAAGCTTCAAGAAACAGTCAAGTGATTAGAAACTTTTCCTTTGGAAACTGACAATCAGAATGTAGCTTCTGAAATGCTTAGAAATTTGGACAAGTAAAACCGTTTAACAGAAAAATAGTAACTATGATCATAATTTGTTCAGATGTAAAAACATTTAATTGAGCCTCAAAACACCTTTGGGAGAGCAAGTTTTCTTTTGTTCTTGATATAGTCAGGATATATTAGAATCCGTGTTCATCTTGACCTGTCCCACCCCCTTGAATTACTAATCTATCAAGAAGCAGTACAACCTCTTTCTTGCTCTTCTAAAGAGGGCTATTCATGTTTTCCTTTTTTAAAATCAGTATCATTGTAAGACATACTTAGAAACAGACCAACCAGTTTACAAATGCTAGAGTGCTTTCTGAATGGAATTTAACACATTCACATATAAGGTTTCTTGGATTCTTTACCCTGTAAGGTGAAAGGACAAAAGAATAACATAGCTGCTCGATGGCTAGAGAATCTGGCTTTATAGAGCCGTGTTAGAACTATAGACCCTCATTTACGAAGCTTTACAGCCTACTTCAAGAATTCTATTTTATCCAAATCTAAAAGATAGAGATAAAAGTATTTTTTCCATTTTCGTGAACAAAAATTTTTTCTGACATTTTGGTTTCGTTAGTTTTCTATGTTTTTTTATCTTTAGAATTCTGACTTTTAGCTCAAGTTAGACATTTGAAGTCAAACATTATTAGTCAAAAGTAGAATAACTGAAATGAAGTTAAAGAGCATGCCAAAGGGTGACTTTGAAAGTGTGGTAAGTTATAATAATTGTATTACATGCCATGGGCAAGAGAGAATTGTGAGATACCCTTTCCCATGGTTAGACAAGGTATACTTCCCATGTGATCTATAAAACAAGAATATTAATTATTTTTGAAAAAGTAAAACTTAGGTCAGTTAATTATTTTTACCTTTTAACATTAGATGTTTAAGAGAAAGGAATTAAATCACTTCTACATTATTATTGTAGGACGAACTTTAATGATGAAAATGAAGAAAAACTTGAAAAGAAATCGACAGATGACATCAGAAGATACCTTTTCAGAAAGTTACTTATATTCATGATGGGAATAAATGAAACTTATCTTGGACTTGTAATTGCACTGCCTGAATTCTGTACAACATTGATATAAATGAAAGGTCTGCAGACTTTTCTATAAAGGGCCGGATCATAAATATTTTAGGCTCTGTAGACCATATATGGTTCTTTGTTACATATTCTCTGGTTTGGTTTTGTTTACAACCCTTTAAAAAATGTAAAAACCATTCTCGACTCAGGGCTGTGTACCAGTAGGCCACAAGCCACACTCAGCCTATGGGCCACAGGTTACTGACTCCCAGAACGGTGTTTAGGCTAGCTGGCCTAAGTGATTAAACTGTATTTTATCACTTAATGTTTTGTAGCTGACCTGTAAAGATAACTTGGTTTTCAGTCACCTGTTCTAAAAAAAATCTCTGAGATTGATGCTTTGACCATGTATTATTTAAAAAAAACATTCAAAATGTGGGAAAACCATCTTTCTAAAGGTTGAAGAATTGGTTGTAATTTTTCACATATAAGAAAAAAACTTTCTAACAGTAAGTAAACAAATCCTATTGACTTACACAGTATTCATAAATACCTGAGGGGGAAAATATATATATATATATATAGTAATTAACTGGGCATTGTAAACTATCTCAAGTATTTCTATGTTTTAAAGATAAGTGTTCATTTATTTTTTGAGCTTCTTTCATAATAGTTTTTCCCTGTGATGGTAATTGATTTTTTGAAGCATCTTTCTAATAATTCATTTTTAGCTTCTGGGCTTTGATGTGTGTCCTTTATTTACATTTGCCTTTTTTCCTTCATAGTTGTTTTTCACTCTTCCAAACTTTATTAGTCAAGAAGGAAAAATTTTGTTCGTTTCACTATAGCTCATAATGATACTGTGGTTATTTCAATTATTTACTGTTGGAGGCTGCCATTTTCAGGTAAATATTGGCATAATAACTGAAGTTATTTCTGTAAGAAAATCAAGTATAAAAATATAAGAATGGGATCTTTTCATTTCTTAGTTGTTCAGACTGAAAGAATCCAATTATTTTTTTCTTACACATTAACAAAACATTGTAACATGTAGTTATTTAGTTATATTGCTGAGTATATGAAATGGTAAAAATCCCAGTTAATCAAGAGGTCAACAAATTATTTAAAAAACTTAAAATTTCCCCAAAACCTATTTGAATTATGCTTTATTATATTGGGAGAGTTTTTGGTGTTTTTCTTAATATCACTTCACCCCATTCCCCAAAATGTCCTCATAAAGGTTTAATTTACAATTGCAACTTATCCAAAAAGTGATCAGTTTTTTTTTTCATTGTCAGGTCTAACCTTATTCTTCATATTCTCTCCCATATTGTTTCAACTCCACTTTATACATGTGAGCACATATAGAACAGTCACCACTTCTAACCTTAATCTTACATCATCTTTTTTTTTAACTTATGATTAGTAATGGCAAGTGCATTTCAATTATTAAATTTACAAACAGCAGAAGATTTTCCAAATTGACTTGATTTTACAAGAATTCCAAAATGGAATGCCTAGAGAAGTTCTGGTAATATTTACTGAACTCATACAAGTGCCATGCTGGACACTGAGGAGTGTGCAGAAGTAAACTAAACACAAGCCTTAGCCCTGTCTCCTTGGTGTCTGTACGCTCACAGTTCTGACACAGAATCCGTAAACAAGCTTACAGGTACCTGTACTGTTATCTGTATAAAGAATTCCAGACTCACTTGTGAGAAACATCTTTTAGGCAGTAAGTGAAATAGTAAATATTATCTATCCCATAACTAGGCCTAAGTAAGTGCCTATGGAATTAGCTCAAAAGCCAGGGCTACCTGGGAGACATAGTAAGTAATATGTATCATAAAAGTGACATACATCAGAATTTTCTGCAATGATACCAGTGTCATTGGGTATTTAAAGACAGCCGGCAGAATTAAAGGTTTTAATGGCAACTGCACAACAGTGACATGCAAATTCATATTTTGGGGCTTCCCAAGTGGCACTAGTGGTAAAGAATCCACCTGCCAGTGCAGGAGATGTAAGAGACACAGGTTCGATCCCTGGGTTGGGAAGAGCCCCTGGAGAAGGAAATGACAGCCCACTCCAGTATTCTTGCTTGGAGAATCCCATGGAAGAGGAACCTGGCAGGCTACAGTCCGTAGGGTCACACCGAGTCAAGCACCACTGAGGTGACTTAGCATGAAGTCGTGTAGGTCAGCCACCATGCTAAGTATAAATTATTGATCATATATAAAAACATTAGTGATTTACTGACTTGAGTCTATATATATATATATATATATATATATATATTTAACAAGTCGCTTTGCATTTAGGTCATGAAGAGTCAGACATGATGGGGTGACTCAACAACTCAATAACACAGGTTCAGTCACATGCAGATCTTATCCAATAAAGAGGTTCTAGAGTACATAATCCATGGTTGGCTGAATCCACAAATGCAGAATTTCGGATATATAGTGCCAACTCTGAAATTATACATGGGTGTTTAACTCTGCTCGAGGTTGGCACCCCTCACCTTCACATTATTCAAGAGACAGCTGTACTGTCATCCAGTCTGCTTGATGGGTATATTTTGTAAGCAGTAACTCACCAGAATAATGGATGGAGGCTGATGTCAAACAGAGCCATATCAATAATGAATCCTGAAGTGTCTGGATCATTTGGCTGCATTATCTTGTCACTGGAGTGGATTATTTAGCAGCCAGCTCTGAAAATTAATCATATTTGAAAAGACCTGTTCTGCTCTAAATTAGTTTGTTTGCCTAAGATTCAAAAGTGGATAAGTAAAATAGCCCAGTAGAAAAAATAAGTCCAACAGAAGGGTCCTGGTATGTCTAGAAACTTGTTCCATCAAGGGCTCTTGAGACAACTGCACATTTAACAGTCTGAACTGAACTGAACTGAAGGACTGGTCGTCATGACCAGACATCATAGGAGAGAGGAAAAACCCAGGAATGTGCTCTCCGTCAGTCCACCCTCTGAGCCAAAAGTCTGTTCAGAGTCTGTGCTAATGTTCACCAAAATTATTGTTATATGTTAATTAACTACTGATGAACAATTCATTAAATAACTGCTATTCCAAACATTTTGAGGAGGTAAAGGATTTTTTTTTTTAATCAGTAGGTTGCAGGACAAGATGACTCCCAAATTCACCTCCTCCCACGGACAAATTAAATAAGAGCTGCATACAGAACATTCTCTGAAAGAAATCCAGAACCTAACTGAGTAACTTTTTACATATCAGGTGGATGAGAAAAAGCCCACATTGGAATGGGCAGGAGAGGCTGAAGACACTCTCACCATAACCCCACCTGACACAGTGACCCAGTCAGGGGGATCTCAGGACTACAAGTTTCTCCTAAGGATCGAAAGGTTTGGACCCCACAGCTGGTGCTGCAGCTTCTAAGACTTGGAGAGGTGGGCTCCTAAAACATGGAGCTTTGAAAGCCAGCAGGGGCTTGCATCTTTCAGACTCAAGAGCTAGTGCAGTCTGAGAAGCAGTTCCTCACAGGCTTGTGTGGACTCACAGTGGTTAATCCCCCAAGGCTTAGCCGAAAGGGAATATCCTGAAGCTGCCCAGTCTTAATGTAAAACAGGCCTTTTTGCTTATCTTAAATGCTTTAGCCTGAGGAACAGGCTTCTTGGGGCTCACTTCGTTACTCTCCAGAGACCACGGAGGCGTGCAGGCGTGCGCTGTCCCTCTGCCTCACACCAGATCACCAGAACTTCCTGGAAGGAGCTTGTGCAAACACCTGGCGCCCCAGCTGTTGCGGCTGTCACTCACGGGACTGCTCACCCGGCACTGGTGGCAGCGGTGCTTGTGGAGCCTTCAGGACTGTAGCAAACAGTCCATACTGTGCTGTCGCTTCAAGCCTCAGTGCAAAGAGAGCCAAGACCATCGCCCAGTCTTCCCCTAAAGTGGTCTGTTGGTATACTCTACCGTCCGCTGCCTGAGAATACAGCTTCCAATCAGCCTGCATCCAAGTGCTGAATGAGAGCCTCCCCTTTGGGACACTGACAAGTCTTGGTACACCTCCGCTAAGGAGAGCCACTGAGGAAAAAAGTCTGCTTGAATGATCACAAAGGTGTTAGAGCCAAGGGCTAGGCCATCGTTGATAAGGTTAATCTACACAAAGGTACTCCTTTAAACTAGGAGAGGTGGTTTTACCTAATGCAGAGAAACCAACACAGAGTCGGGACAATGAAGAAACAGGACTGTGTCCCGAACAAAAGGACACGAGAAAACTTCAGAAAAAGATCTTAATGAAATAAATGCTAACTGTTACCATAAAGGTATTCCCTGACACATGAACAAAGTGGGAATGTCAGCACAGAAATAGAAAGTGTAGCAAATAAAAATTACACAATTGAGTACAGTAACTGAAAAATTAAATAGAGGGATCAACAGTAGACTAAGAAAAAGTACTTGAAGTCAAAGACCAGATGGTGGAATCCAGAGCAGCAAAAAGTAAAAGAGTTAAGAGTGAAGACAGCTTATAGGACACCATCAAGCAACGCAGAGGTTGCACTACAGGAGTCCCAGAAAGGAAAGGGAGAAAGGGACAGAAAATTTTGAAGAAAATGGTTGTAAGCTATACTAGCCTGGAGAAAGACAGACACCCGGATCCAGGAAGCTCAAAGTTCTAAATACGATCTAAAGAGACCCATACTAAGACAAGTTATAATTAAATTGCAAAAGGGAATCTTAAAACCAGCAAGAGAAAAAAAAAAAAAAAATTGTTCCATACAAGGGAACCACACTAAAACTATAAATGAATATATCAGCAGAAACTTCGAAGGCCAGGTGGGAGTGACACGGTGTATTCAATGTGCTGAAAGGAAAACAACTGGCAAAAGTTTTCCTTCAGAATTGAAGAGTTTTCTTAAAAAGCAAAAGCTAAGGT